AGATTTAACATATCAACGAAGCATATGGAGTAAATATAGTTAAATCAGGTAAGATCAGCTGAAACCCCGATACTACCCTAATCGGCAACCAAGAAGCAGGCTAGAGATTGAGATTCTAATCATGACTTATAAGATCAAACTCAACTGATGCAGCTATAAGTATGAAAAGAAGGACAATATCTAGACAATCAAGCCATTGAAAGTTTCATAGAGTGGTGAATATCCTATATAATCTAAGTCAACATTGATGTCTAACCTAATCGGTTGCCCTCTACCGACAGATGTTAGCCGATTGTAGGTTAGATAGCGATATTGCTAGAGATTATGTAAGATATATGATAACTCGACAAATTACATAAACAAGATTAGAGTATCATAAAGATGGAAGCACTAATCCCGAGAATGCAAGCCGCCATAACAAGTTTTACCTCTTGTTGAAGATCGAAATCGATGCAGCTCAACCCGAAAGCAAGAACTCGTCGAAACAAAACGAAAGTAAAAAGGGTGGCGATGCACCGAGATTGTATTGAACGTGTGTTCATTGATTATATGGGATCCGGGGTCTATTTATACCCGAGAATTACAAACTATGTCCATATCGGACACGACACTTATCTCTAACAAACTCTAAGATACCATAAGTCTTTGCGGCAGACTTTTGCCCCACACTGTCCTTGTAGGTTACACATACCTCCTTGAGATGAGCGTGGAAACGTACAAGATCTACATATTAAAATTATGGACTGGATGGAGCCTAGGTCCCGATCTGGTCTGGGACCCGGCCCCCCTTGGTCCTTGTACACTACACGTTCCTTCTGAAGAGGACCGTGGATGCATACAAGATCTACATATTATACATTTGTTCATCAAAGACATCTTCGAGAAGCTAGCCTAAAAACACTCAATCTCCCTGCTAAGGGGCACAGGGGCAAGGCCGAAGACTTGAAAAAGTCAAGGCCCTGACCCCTCCCCCCCCCCCCCCCGCCAGCTATAACCCAACGATCACATCCATAAATGAAACAAATTTAGGAAAAAGATTCCAAACCGATGGGACTGAAAAGACGTGGAAAAGACAGTAGCGCTGAGTCATTAGGGACGATGCGAGTCTGGACACATGTCGTACATGCCTGGCAACACCCAATTCGGCCAACTGGGCAAGAAGAGAGCCGTGGCGCCATTTGGTGAGGCCGGGATTCACCTGGCCCACCACATGACACATGGTGGACAATGTGAAAGCCCAGTTGGCCCTCTAATTATAATGTCCTAGGTTTAGAAGGTTATTGAAAGGGTCAATTAGGCCTAGAGGAGGGATGAATAGGCTAATTTAAAACTTTATGCGGAAACTAAAATTGAGTTAAGGTCGGAAAGTCTGATCCACAGTCAGACTATCCGAAAATATTAGATAGTCTGATGTTGGATCAGTTTGTCTGATCCACTAAACAATCACAACAAGCAGATCTAGCACACAAACAAGAGTATAGCGCAAACAACGACTAGATCTATAGCAGCACAATTAAGCAAAGCTAAAGAGAGGATGAAGAGATATCACCAACGATGAAGTTCACGGAGTTGTTCCCGGAGTTCAAATCCTTCAGGGGATTCTACTCTCCGTTGAGGAGCTCACTAAGAGCCGGGTCTTTGCTAACCCTTTCCTCAAGAGGTTACACTAAGCACTCCTCCTTCCACTAAGGGGTATCTCTTTCCTTGCGGAGGCGAGATCGGGCCTTCACAAACTTCTCCCGGCCAACCACACGTAGATCGGTGGCTCGGGAGTGACACCTAGCCGTCTAGGAGTCCTCATCCTCTAAGAGTAACAAACACCACACAACTCTTGGTCAAACCCTAGTGCTCAAGATCGAGTGAAACACACACTAGGCCCTCAAATACCAAATCCACAACCACCAAGATACACCACACAATGAACGAGGAGGGATTTGAGAGAGGGAGAATGAGCTCAAAGATCCAAAGCACCTTAGCACCAAGCTCAACCCAAAGTGAATGAGAATGAAATGAGTTGGGTAACCCTAGAAAAGGGTTAGGTGGGGGGTATTTATAGAACCCCCCCTCCCCCAAAAAAAAAATGTGGCCATTGGAGGGGAATCTTTCAGCCCACGTCGGATAGTCCGATATTTTAAACCTCCAAGGCAACAAGAAACAGAGAACGAAGTTCCATGAAATTTCGGACTTTCCGAGACATCGGACTATCTGATGTTAAATCGGAGTGTCCGATATTTTAGAAGCAAAAACTTCGTCCTCAAATAGAGACTCAAGTTCCATGAAATTTCAGAGTCTCTGTATCATCGGACTATCTGATCCAACATCAGATACTCCGACAAATAGAAAAACTCACTCGAAAGGATTTTTCAAACAAAGACAGAGAGTGAAGTTCTGTGAAAAATCGGATAGTCCGATACATCGGATAGTCTGATTTCAAATCGGATAGTCTAATGTTGCTCAAGTAAAAAGTGCAATAACTTTTTACTCCGAACTCCGATTTCGAAGATTTTGGACTCTATGGAAAGCTAGTTTCGTGGGCTATCAAACCCAACATAAAAAATGGTCCAAAACCTTCAAGATATGTTGAAAAACTTGCAAAGAAACCCGGTGTAAGTGTTGTGACAAGTGAAACAACTCGGGATTAAAATTTTGGCTTAGGTTTTTCAACTCACACAAAGATGAAGCATTTTGAGCACTAGTGTTCTACCAATTATATGCATGTGGTATCCCTCTTAATAGTACGGCATTCCTACGACACAATGCAAGGTAAAAGATACAATATACCATTTGATCATTGCCGCATTGCATCGTGATGTTGCATTCATGGGGTATGCATCTCATTACAACATGTCGAGGACATAACAACCTTCATATTTGCTTGAATAAAAGTGTTATTCCTCTCTAATCGCATTGTAATCAATCATCAAAATCATTAGGGGCCTAGATGCACTTTCAGGTATTAAGAACATAAGAACTGGCATGATGCATAATTAGAAAGTAGTTAACTTTCAGGATGTTACAGCTGCCTGGCTTGGCATGGTCAAAGTGCCTTGCCCCGCTACAATCCGCATCAGATGGATGAGAGATCGACAATCATATGTGACCATGCCACTGTTTCAAAGATTTCAACATATCCATTATGCTGGTGGTAAGTACACTCAGTTATGTAAAAGATAAAACAAGGTTCACCAAACCTTTACTCAATAGTACCACCATGTGAATATGGCTTGATCGTATATGTTATGCTTCATTTGTTTATTTTTGTATGCTCTAGTTTGGGTGTGTTCGTAAGACATCCATAGGGTTTTTGATTTAAGCATGGTGCTTAGGTCAAAATGGTCTGCGTTAATTAAATTAGACATGATGTTGAATTCGATTAATGAACCATTAGAGCTAGTACTTTCATGGACATAGGATGCATATTGTGACATTCCGGCCCAGGGCTTAATAGAATTAATAGAATACTCATATCAACAAGTTGCAACTTCTTTTCCGGAAGCCGATTTCCAAAGAACTCCAGGGTTAAGACTTCTTTTCCGGAAGCCGATTTCCAAAGAACTCCAGGGTTAAGTGTGCTTGGCCTGGAGCAATTTGGGATGAGTGACCGACCGGGAAATTCTTCCCGGGTGCACACGAGTGAGGACAAAGTGTGCAGAAAAGACATGTGTTGGTCTGTGAGGACAGTCTATGACCTATAAAAGCGGGCCTGGCCTAGGGGAAGGCAGGATGTTACACATATCTTCTACAAAGTGTGCAGAAAAGACATGTGTTGGTCTGTGAGGGTAGTCTATGACCTATAAAAGCTGCCATATGTAAGCGGGCCTAGCCTGGGGGAAGGCGGGATTGTTACACATATCTTCTGTGGACTAACCCTGTAGGAAAGTTTTCGAATTAACACAATAAATTACAGACATGCAAAGGAGTAACACATCATCTTAGTGTGCAGAAAAGACATGTGTTGGTCTGTGAGGGCAGTCTATGACCTATATAAAAGCTGCCAGATGTAAGCGGGCCTGGCCTGGGGGAAGGCGGGATGTTACACATATCTTCTGTGGACTAACCCTGTAGGAAAGTTTTCGAATTGACGGATGAGTCCTCACGTTCAATTCACACTAGAGGTAAGTCAGGGCTCGGGAAACAAATCAATAAATTGCGGACATGCAAAGAAGTAACACATCATCTTTCAAGGTGCACGGTGAGTATACTGTCAAATGCTCATTTGTTATGTTCGTGCAATTTTACCTCAGCCATGTATGAGTTTTGCCTAAACGAAAATTTGGTGAACAATAAAAAAAATTAAAAAGGGGGTTTTCAGAAGTATCTCTAAAAAAAGACGGCAATTGTGTGGGATCGATGCTTATCAAATTTTGAACCCAATTTCTCTTTAACATGAATGTGAACAAATAATTTTGAGGCTATGATAAAATCTTTTCAATTCTTTGTAGTCCCTCGGATATTTGTTATCCACTAACCTTTTGTAAGAAATAAAATGACAACTAAGGAGCAGTGTACGATAACTTCAACACCAATACCTCACTCCTTGGTCTTAGGAAAAATAGATGCTCAGGGAACCAAACAGAACAAATGCGAAACTTTGTTGCATTCAATTCGATTCTAAGCTTGGCGAGACCTATCTAGTATTTTGGAAACATAAGAAATGCTGAACAAATGTTACAGAATTGACAAGAATGCTAAAAATAAAAAAAAAACCCCGAACAGATGATACAAAATCCCTATTATGAAACTTTAAGGAGCATCAAGAGGCGATTCATAGAAGGCCAGTGTATACTGTAGTCGTAGAAGAGGTGAAGTAACATATTAATTACCACTAGCACTCTACCATCCTTGTTTGAAGAAAACAGGCAGGCAAACAAAAATTAAATGTGAACATATTAAAAGAAAGAAATAAGATAGTCTGTACATATTTGAACATTGTAAAAGAACCAAGCAGAAACAACTAGAATGTGACAGAATTTCATTTCAGGCAAATAACCAACAATTGCTTGCACTGAAAAACACATAACCTGCAATTCACTGAAAAACAGACAGAACTGCCGCTTGGTAGTTCCCTGTTTTGAAAAACACAATCTGCAGTAACGCTGCTAATTTTCCAAATAATAGGTACAGGTGGAGATACTCCCTCCGTCCCAAAAACACATACATCAACCTGGAGATCAACCTAGGAGAGATCACATCCCCTCTTAATTCTTATCCCCTCTTAATTCTTTTTGGGACGGAGGGAGTACTGTTGAAGAAGTCCGATGACATTTTTTCTCTACTGATCAGTATGTACAAGCATTCACAGACGTCCTCCTCCCATATTTACAAATTGCAAATTTGCAACAAATGCTCCCTATACATTCGTGTCTTCTAACTAGCAGAGCTTCCAAACGAACATATTCTTGGGTCTAAAATTTCGCCATCTCACTCCAATATGGAGAGTATACCTGGAGATTTCATCTATGAATCATCACATACAGGCGCACAGCAAAATACATGCCTAGCTAGCTAAGCTAGTCTCAGTTGAAAACTATGGGCAACTTCAGAACTTGGCCAGAAGCCACCCAAATGTCCAGCCAAGAAGCAGCCCTGCACCTGCAAGACCTAAACCAACGGCAAATAAGAGCGCGTCACAGAAACTCCCTGCATTTTTATGCCTTCTGCCTTTCTTCCTTGTCCAATCTTCTTTCTCATGATCTGGTGTAGTCCTTTTCTTTAGTGTAATCCATGGAATATCAGGTATCATGGTTGCTATCTGATGCTCTCTGTGTTTAAGCTGGAGGCAGATGTTCTCCAACTGTAACATTTTCAGCCATTGTTTGCACGCAAAGAGATGCGAGGCCTGTCTGAAAAATAGCTTGATGACATCGTCTTTTTCACTTTGTGCTTTCTTCCCAGCCATCTCAGCTTCCCTCGCCCGTGTTTGCGAGTGACAAAGTGCCTCCAAAAGTTGAGCTTGCTCTGCAGGATTCTGGTATGTTCGCTTGCCTCGTGGTTCTGTATTGATGCCCCTAGAAAAATCTTGTGCATCACTGCAGGAAAATTGGATGAAATGATAACCAGAAAAACACAAGAAACTGAAAAATAATGGAGCACATTTGAAGTTTCCGAGTGCGGATTATGGAACATAACTTAAAATAGATGAATGTAGATTGTGAAATTGTGTAGTTCCCAATCAACAATAGGAATTTTTTTTAAAAAAAAAACTCTAGGTATTGATTAAATGAAACAAATATAACAAGCAACTTTTTTGAAGAAGTCCATGAACTCTTTTGCAAACAAGGGCAATGGCACCATTATCCTGTAGGCAGTGAGCAACAATGTATCTCTGAAATGAACCAAAACTGAAACTTAACCAGTATAATAAGTTTTCCTTTCAAAAAGAGAACTGAACAGGAACAGACAAAAGATCTCACTAGCACCAAACAGCATTTTAGCGAACACAAAGGGAAACTCCTACTTAGCACCAAATAATTCAGACTACAGTAATATTTAGCAATTCTATTTGTAATACAGAAGTAATGCACCACCTGAACTTCAGATATCAACTAGGAAATTAAAATAGATGTGCATCAAAATTTAGGTATGCTTACGGAAATTACAATTATGGCATCAGGGTAAATTGGTGACAGAGTAAGGCAGAAGAAATACACACCTGCGTGCAACATTTCTTTCCTGCTGTTGCCAAACTCCATCACTGGTTAAATCCACCTCATCTGTGCTTGCTGTGCTGTAACTGCATTCAATATGTTCACATTGTCCAGTATCAGGATATGACATTGTACCTGCTGGACCTGATGACCCCCTGTACCTACCCATATTTTCATGACTGCGTGATTCAGTACCCTGAACACGAACTATCTGGGTAGGTCTTGGTAAATCGCAATTCTCAATATGCTGCATTGCTCTTTCTGCAACCAGTAAAGCCAGCTCATTCTCATCAGTGATCTGCCACCATGGTTGACTCCTTTCACCTCCTTTCCAAGGCGCATTCATATCAAAATCGTCCTTCTGTGGGTTCTTCGACGGTGGTGGGTTAAAATTTTTGAAATCCAGGAATTCTTTATCATTGAACAAACAGTCACTGGCATTTTCTTTGCACTTCGAAGGAACTTGGGAATAGCCACCTATATTTTTCAAGTCTTGTAAGCCTGTTTCAGAAGAATACTTCATGGAAGCTGTGGAAACCATCCACGAAGGCTCAAAAACATCCTCAATCTTCTCAGGATTGGTGTCGAACATTTCACAAAATAATGGTTCGTCGTGTATATTCTTTTGTGCTGAATCCTCCACTTCCTTATCACTGATCTCTCTTCCCAGAAAATATAGGTGCTCACCTGCAAGATTCTTCTGCCCTCCTAAATTTGGTTGTAACTGAAGCCACCATCTAATATCAGGTGGCAGACTGGAGTTCATGGGATTCCAGCTCAATGGCATGAAATTGGGCACAGGGCGGTCTTCAGAATTCCTACAATTTCCATTGCTTTTGACATGCTGCTGTTCTGATGATGGTGGACAGCAGGCTAGTTTTGGTGCTCTTTTTCTATCCTCCTGAACGATGCAACGGTTTGCAGCACGCTGCCAAGCAGCCCTTGCTTCAGCAGCGGCCATTATTCTCACTGATCAGAGAACTGGTCACTGAATCATAAACAGAAAACATCAACATCAGTTTAACAACAGAAGCACGCTCAAAGCAACACACAGAAGGAGGATAAAATAAACTCAAGCAACAGAGCAAACACATAATCCACAAAGTGCAAGCATGCATATCAGTGCATATAAAATGCTGGCTAAATTCTAGGATTTCAATTTTTAAGAAATACTAATCTTGTGTTCTACTGTTGTACTTCAACCGTTGTTTCAAATGAGGTTTTCAATGGAAAGAGTTCCATGGCTTGAAATGAGAGATATGACACTGCTTTAATAAGCATGAACTAAGGTCATCATGTAGTTCCTTTTTCTCGGGATTGACCAATACACATTAAACAAAGCTAGGTAATGCACAGAGCATAAACTGATGGCCAAGGCCAACTTGAAAGCATGAGAGACCAAGGATATGAACAACCAAGAACACGATATTGGCAGATATACAAGCATTTTCTTGTCTCTGTCCTCCTAACACTGCACGCACAGTAATCAGAGCATGGAGGATGAACAAACATCTAATCAGAACCCGGAGGATGACTCATATTTGCAATTTGACAACGTTATTATTGTTATTTAGGAACATAGGTTGAATCCTGTATTCCTGTCATATGAATATCAGTAAAGAATCAACTGAATTGGTCAAGTATCAGCATTACATAACCAATTCTTGTGCCCTGCATCTTCTATGCAGACAAAGTACTAGGCAACTGGATTTGATTTTGAACTCAAATTTTCTGCTCATCCTTGAAGAAAGTTTTTAATATGCAAAATTATACCATTCGGCAATGAGTTAACTAGGTTCCATATTTGCCAACTCACAAATATCCTTTTTTTCAAATAGTTTTAAGTCCATTTATAGGATTCATATAAAACTGTACAGATGTAAAAGACCCAAAACACTCAACACCATAAACGTGTTTATGATGCTCCCGAAGCCTTGAAAACCGTGAAAAAGGAATATAATTCCTTAATAACAGAAGGTGCCCACATAGATCGATCTGCCTCCAGCAAAGGGGGGGCACAACGAGAATCGATCAACAACCTCCACCACCAAGAAACCCAAGCCCTGATGTTCTTGCCACACCACACAAACCATCATCCCCCTTCTTGCTCGATTAGACCAACAAGAAGTGGCAGAGAGACGGGCAACACGGAGGGGGGAGAGAAAGAAATGGATACCTTGATGGATCTAGGGACAAGAAGACGGCGGTGGCATCGCCCGCATCCGTGACCTCGCTTCGTTGCCCCTCGATGCAAAGATTGGGGCATCCGTCCGGTGCGAACCACCGGTCGCTTTATGGGAGGAGGGCGAGAGAATCAGCCGGTGGAAATCCCACAGAAACGGAGCAAACGATGGATGAGATGAGGTGAGGTACTGAGGTGACGCAGCAGCAACAGCAGCAGCGGCAGCAAGCTGGATTAGACTAGGTGGATGGAGTGAGAGTGGGGATTTCTCTCTCCGCCCCCGCGGGACAACGACGCGTAAGCTCGCGACAGGGAAAGGGAAGGAAAGCAAGAGAGAATCGGAGAGGAGAAGCAACGAAGGTGAAAGCGTAATAATTCTGCACCCGACCTTCTGCTGCTTGTTTTTATTCGTACAGGTAGCTTGTACACTAGTACTCCGAATAATCATGATATTTGCTCTTGCTGCTGCCGCCGCTGCTACTGCTCTATTAAAAATTTACCGCTCTTTGACCTTACCTCCTCCGTCCAAAAAAAAAACTGAATTATTTGATTTCCATGTCCAACGTTTGACCGTCCATTTTATATGAAATTATTTTATGATTACAATTTTTATTATTGTTAGATGATAAAACACGAATAATACTTATATGCATGACTTATCTTTTTAAATTTTTTTCATAATTTTTTAAATAAGACAAACGGTCAAACGTTAGACACAGAAACCTAGGAATTGAGTTTTTTTGAAACGGAGGAAGTACCCTCCAAATCTTATCTTATCCAGTACAGTGCTTGTTTCATATTATAAGTTATTTGATATTTTTCTAATTAAACTGCTTTAAATTAATCAAGTTTATAAAAAATATAATAGTATTTTCGAAAAAAACAGACATATTATCAAAATTAATTCGATTTATGAAAGGAGGCGTACTCCCCCGTACTTGTAAAGGAAGTCGTTTAGGATAATATTTAAGTTAAACCTTAGGAATATAAATCATGAATAACTCTCAAGTTGTTGAGTTTAAAAATATAAAAACTATATGAATAGATTTGTCTTGAAAAATACTTTCATAAAAGTATACATATATCACTTTACAATAAATATTTTTATAGAAATAAGAAGTAAAAGTTGTGTTTTGGAGATCATGTCGCTGTCCAAAACGACTTCCTATACGAGTACGGAGGGAGTACGTTTTAAAATATAGCTGTTTTTAAAGTCTTTAATAACGAGTAAGAAGATAGATAAAAAAAAGGCTAAATTGCCAATCACTGGTTGTCCCACTTAATAGAAAGTAGGTAGGGTCGCAGAGATAAGAGTGGAGTGTCTTTTGACATTTCATCTGGTATTTTTGGCAGTTATATTTTGGATATTTAAATTTTGCCAAATTTAAATGCTAGTTATGCTACTATACCTTAGAACGCAGAGCAATTCTTCTTTACCAGCAATTAGAAAAGGAAGAGAATTTAGTACAGGCAGCAGCGGCCTGGTGACACATGCAGACCCGGTGACGCCTGCAGATCTCTCCCGCTAACCTGCTCTCTCTAAACTTATCCAATTTGGTAGACTAAAATTTGTTCTTAACCACCACCACCACCACACGTTGATGATTGATCGGCTACCCAAAGATGAGAGGAAACTGCTATTATCCAAGCCGACCCTGATTTCTAAACAGGGGCCCCAAACCAAAAGCATCAGCAAGATAGCAACACGTACGGAATGGAAATTGACCAATCAAAATGTCAGAATACGTACCAGCCGCTGTTATCTGTCATACGCAAGGCCATCAAAATAAGCTGCCCCCACAGGCCATCAAAATTGTTGACCACCACCATGACAACTCCACTCTCTCTAGTCTCTAGTCTTTCTTTTGTTCTTTTCAGATTGGGATTGCAACATGTGCTGATGGGTTTTTTATTATTATTTAAACTTTTTAAAATTTTAATTTTAAAAATAAATCCTTTCGAAACTTATTTTTAAAATCTGAACTTTTTAACCACGCTAGCCAGACTAGCGTGAAAAAACAACACTGTCACGCCAGTCTGGTTGACATGGAAGCATTATTTGGTCACGCGGTCTGGTTGGTATGACAGTGTTACGTAGTCACGCGCCACCTTCGCTAGCATGGCGGGACAAAACTATTTAAGCCCGCTATGTGTGGCATGTCGGCGTGTTTTTGCTATGTTAGAGCGCTGACGTGACCAAAAGGTTTAGATTCTAGAAATATGTTTTAGAAGGGTTTATTTTTAAAATTAAAAATTTCAAAAAATTAAAAAAGTTCGTGCTGATGCAACTATTTCCCTTTACTTCCGTCAGAGTCAAGCCACAGTCTAAAGAGAGAAGGGGAAAAAAAATAAAGCTAGAGCCTGAAACTATGGGTTTGCAGAAACCACCAACCACTACCAGCAGCAGGTAATCTTTCGGTAATGCAGTTCTGCCAATCATCTTTTGAGCTGCGACAGTTGTGAAAAGCTAGTGCTGATTGCTGAATCTGATGGCTATGCCCACCGATCTGATCAAGAGGAGTTCGTTCGTTCAACCTTTGCCTAGCTGCCAAAAACCCGATGTTTGGTTGCTGATTTGAGTATCCAGTGCCTCTCAGATCAGCCACTCGGTCTAAAACACATAGCCTGTGAGAACGAGGAAATCATATCACATCGAGAGATAATCGTGTCAGTAACAGTAAGGAATCTCAGAGGTTAACAACGGTTGGAAATGAATTAGAACTGTAAACCTGGTCTTGATGCATCCAGCTGTCCAAGGTAAGCAACCCCACTGCGTCATGTTGGAGCTAATCAAATCATGCAGAGAATTTTGTGACAGCCGATTTCTTCCTGTGATAACCAGAAAGATATGATAAGAACTCAAAGGTATATCTGTTCCTAGCTAGTAGTGATATGCAACACGTCAGTATCCTACCTAACTGAATCCACATTTTTACTGATAACTTCACTCTCTTGCCGCCAAAACCAGTAATCATGCCCACCGATTGATCAAGACTTCAAAGAGTAGTTCATCTTTGCTACCTCGGCACTCGCTGCGACTTCTAGTGATCCTCGACCTAGGGTACAGGTTGCAGCACATGGCCTGCAAAATGAGGAAATGTTTATCCCATCAAGAAAATTACCTTTCGAAAGAAAACTGGGGGAAAATTTTAGGGGTTTAGAAAGAATTATGAGAGTCAAAATTCGAAGATATTCCTGAATGCATTGAAGATAAAAAGGGTTCAGACTTCAGAGGCTATGAGCTAGTAAAACACTCTATTTGCTGCAGAGGACAAAGCAAATGGTAACCAATGGTTAACATCATAACCACACATGTAATCCCACGACAAGTTTAGGCAAAACCCAAATCCTGAACTAATTTCATCACATGTATGTGCATCTCCTTGTAAATAATGCACTACCTTTATTATCCCTGGCTAAACACCAACCATGTGCTGAAGATCTGCTCAAAACTGCGACTAGTTAATTCAGCAGCATAGATAAAAGCAGCACCATCAGATATTCAGTTAAGAAGCCTCATCTGGCAAGACAAGGAATCAAGAGAATGGCACTTACCATAGCACCTTATTGGTTGGAACAATTCAGAACTATCTGGTTTCAGTATCCACAAGTCATATCATGATCATCTGAAAATTGAGATACTGACTGAACACACAGCAACCAGAAACTTCCCCATCAAAAAAAGCTGTCCAAGTTTTTCTAAAGTAAGAAACCGAGCAAATCCATCATAAACTTTCAGGAAACCAGATAAATCATACCCGCTTTCAAGTTACTTTGAAACTTCAATTCCCTTCTCTAAAAAAAACACTCAGTGTTTGACTGCAAAATTAACTCTATAGTTTATTGGTCTTTATTTAACCTACTTTTTTTTATTGAAATCTGCCCAGAAGGATATAAACAATGTTTCTCTTTTCAGAGGAAATATCGCTTACTTTTGAAAAAAAATGTCTATCAGCATCCACCTCTGCAGAATTTATTCTTTTGTAAGTATTCTTAGTCCAATAATAGGCTTACTATGGAAGCATTGAAATGAGAATGAAATAAGTTGAAGTTATATCAAGATCATAAGCTACCAAAGAAATTGACATAAATCAAAACAGATTTGACCAAATTAGCAAAACAAAACAAAATGGAAATGTTATTACTTTTAGTCCCTGTGTTGAATGTGCAAACCATTCTGACTCAGTGAAAATTGTGTGTTGTGCTTATTTTCTTTTCTGAATTAAAAGTTAAAAGAAGCTCTTCCTAGTGATTCGCATAGTTCACATCAAGGCGACCAGTACCCACAGTAATATATTTTGAAGTGCAAGTTGACGAGCAGTATTGCTATACAATCATAGCCACAAACTTGACAAGAACTCAAACAAGCACCAAGTTAATCTTGCAGTAACAAGGAAAGGACCAAAGATTCTACAAGAAAGAAAATTAGCTCCCTCTATAAGTCCATCAGTTATAACAAAAATATAAAAAATATCAATGCCATTTGTTGCCAATGGTTTTCATTACGAGTTTACCACACTATCATACAATGTTCTGAAAAGAATCAAGTGTTCCCATCTGTTTGCAGTGTACAAAGAGTTAAAAACACCTTATCAGGGGAAAAAAATGCGTAAGAATGTAATGGGGAAAAAAGAATTTGCACAGTAGGTTGATTGCAATACTTATTTTGACAATTTTATGTCTCAAAAAATGCATATTTGGCTGTTCATTTAATTGCCACACATCAGCAAAACTGTAATATCATGATCCTTTTAGTGGTATACATATGGCTATGCTGATTTCTCACTGATTATAGGTACATCAAGTGTGAAATTCAGAATTCAAAACAGCATACATAGGCATTCTTTTTTACTGGAGGGGACTAGCTCCTAAGTTGTGCTAAGTGTTCTGTTAGTCATATAGTAAAAGATTTAATTGTCAATCATTGCAACTTAAAAACCTTCTACAAGATAACAAGACTACAACTAGGAAATTCTTATAACAAAGATAGGTATTGAACGTCTAGCAGAGATAAAGGTGATTCATCTAGTCATACATTGGTTCAAAATATTGCTTCGCTAGCACAATAGCTATTGCAGATCAAGCAGATTCATTGAACATTCATATCAACGGCAATAATGTTATACTAGTAACCAACCTCACACATGAATCCAAAGACCAAAAGACTACCTCCCAGGTTTCAAAAGCACACCACACATCTTGTCCATCTTCTGATTGTCCTAGCTCATTGTTAGCACAAATGACATAAATGATCGTTATGTAAAATAACAGAAGTTTGATTGTGTACCTGCTTTCAACTGCAGTCCTGTCCAGATTCTTGGGATAGTTCAAACACCAAGCCAATTTTATTCAATTCCACATATATTCTGGACTCAGCAACAGTGTCGCAAACGGGCAAGATATATATTACCACAGTACTATGCAAGAATCTGCATTTCGCTGTAGTAGGACAACAGATGTACAGAACCACCACCAACCTTACTGCTTTTTACCACTAACACTCCATGTTATCCATGTATCTACAAAGCTCTCAAATGACAACAAGCAAAACACTAACTTTACAAAGGGTTTTTGTTCAAAGAAATACCAAACCTAGTACTATCAGTCAACCATGCCCTAATAGAGCCTGCCGCAGCACTGTGGAGAACCACAATGGCAATCTTTAACTTTTACTCTGCCATTCAGGTCGCGGACTTCACCTATTTTATAGTTATAGTCATAAGTGAGCTCTTGGAGTGGAGGAATGTTCTCTGCAGCAAAGAACATGATATGGGGCACCCTTTGGTCATCATGATCCCAAAGCACATTTTGTGCATAGAGGTTAGGTGAGCAACTATGGTTGATAAATCTTCCAATATTTCCGTACTCAGACGCATCTATCGTGAAGCACACATCTTCCATGGTCTGAGAGCAACCACCAGAAGAGTTTAGACTAGAAATAGTTGATGGCCTCCCCTTGGAGCAATCCTCATCATCACAATTATGGCTTATATCAAACAAGTATTCATCGTTTGTTCTCTTGTCAGCTTCCTTGTCAGTCAACAGGATACCAACATACTCACATATAAAGCTGCCAGAAGAGATGGACCTTAGGGATCTTACACCCCAACCTTTATTGGCTGTCCTGAAAACTTCCAGGTGGATTTTCATACCCTTCTGACTTACCCTGTTGTGGCATGAAGAATGGCACCTACAGGATGGACCACACTCAAAAATGAGGGGTTTATCATGGACAATTGCACCATTGGAGTTGAATGGGATTTTTCCTCCATTCTTCACAGCACAAAAGCACTTAGTAGAATCTATGCAGCCATCTGAGCAATCGCAACCATGATGCTGAGGATGTCTTTTTGTAAGCCATGACGGGTACTTGATTCTAGAGATGTACTGAAAAGATGTTGGATGGACATTACTAACATCATTGATCACACAGATGGGATCCATTTCTTTCCCTTGAGATATATCAGCTATGCAGAGGCCTGGACGTGAAAGAGACCTTCTCAGCCCTTTAGCTATGTGCAGAGGAAGTTCTGGTTGTCCAGGAATCCTTTGTAATTTGTATTTGAAGATCCTTGAACCTTTTAGTCCTTCTGTCCAGCAATCCACCACAAGGTACAACCCATCATAAGTAAATGTTAGGATTTGTTTAGCTCTTGAATGACTGTTGTCCTCTCTATTTTGACCTTTGAATCCATGAATCACTCGGACAGGTGTCTTTGTCTCGATGCAATTCTTCAAGGCAAGGTTCCCCCTCTCTAGCTTTTGATCCTCATCTTTCTTCTTACCAGCAGGCTTTCCTCCAGAACCAGTGTATATTAGTTCACCTGAGCTTGACAATTCATCAGGATAACCTCCAGAACAAACGATGCTTATTGCAACAAGCACTCCATTATAATCGGTGGTATCAATTCCTCCCTGGTATGGGCGATGGAGACCAACAAGGGCTAGCTCAACTCTGTACATAAATTCGTCACCAACTTCCACTCCATTAACATTTCCCACAGTAGGTCCAGGTTTGGTAAAGCCTGGCAATTTCCTGATGATTTTATCAGCTGCAAGGTCAACTCTTCGAATCTTCAATGAACCCTGTTCGACGGCATGTAAGAGAGCCCTGCATATAAACTGAAACCTCCTGCACAACATCCTGATTTTGCTCCTATCATCAGCATTCCCACTTCCATGTTGCCTATGAAGCTGAACGCATGAGGGAACATTGAGATACACCTCAAGCTTTCCATCATGAACAACTAGTGCCTTCAAAATATCATCATCTTCCAAGCTCAAAGCCTTTTCATCGATAAGGTTGTCCTTGCCCGCCAATCCAGATGTAGAGGCAATCTTCATAGGAATATCTTTACTTTGATCTGGACGTTTTACCTTCAACTTCTTATGACCAAATGAAGCACTATTTGTGGAGAAGGGTCTATGCAGAGTGTTCAATGGAGGCTTATGGCTTGCTCTGACAGGTGGCTTGACTACTTTTCTAGCTGTTGATAGTATCTTACTTCTCATGATACCATCACCAAATACTCCTGTTGCAATATTCATCGATGATTTAGCAGCACCTTTGGGTAAGGTCCCTTTGTATTTGTTCATCACCTTAACATCTTCAGCAGCTGCAGATGCACAAAGCCCCCCCTCATGTCTACCAGTTGTAGACTCGTGTGGGATAACATGGGTGGCAATTTGAGCATCCTGAACACGGTATTCCCCTGTAGTCATCTCAACGTCCTCCAGTTCTTGGTCAATTTGAGCAATGCCACCATGATCTTCAATTGCAAGACTGGGAACTTCCCCTTTCATGCCATGACTCCCCAACACTCTCTTGCCGTGGACAATTTCATTTGAAGGACCACCAAACGAACATTTAGGAGAAGCATCAGGTAAGATAGTTTCACATTTGCCTCCCATTGGCAAGTCATGTTCAGTTTCCTGCGCAGCATCACTGCCCCCTTCTTGCAATGCCTTAATTTGCATCATCTCATCATAAGCGTGACTTGTCAAAACTTCAGTAACAGCAAACGTTACAGGAACAACACCCTCATGTCTTTCACCTGCAGAATCATCAAAAGAATCACAACCAACAACTTTTTGTGACTCTACATCACAGTATGCCTCATCAGCCACCTCACCCTCCTCCAATTCCTGGTACTGTACTGTTCCATCCAAAACACCGACAGCTCCAACAATGTTCGCCGTACACTGGTTAACCGAATGTTTACTGCCATCCGTAGCCATCACCTCCTTTGACACACCCCCACCAACATCAACAGGCATGACTTCCAAACCTGAACCCACCTTACCCTCTTCTCTGCGAGCAAGTGGAGCTGCAGCGTCCCTCCCACACCCAGCAGTGAAGCGGTGCGTCGCAGATACAGTCCTCCTCATGGGAAGCAAATTCACAGCTTGAGCCAACACTTCCCTCTTTCCCAGCAATTCACCATTGTGTGCTCCCTTTCCCCTTGCTGCCCCTTCTGCACCATTCTCTGGTGAACCAACTTTGAAAGCAACCAGATTCTCATCCGAAGCATGTGAAGATTTCATCAAGACCGTGTCCATCACAGCATGATGATGCACATTCGCCATTGAATCACCATTACCCGCAGACGCCACCTTCTCACCCAGAACAGCACGGGCAGGCGCCCCATCCGACGGACGAACACCACCACCACGGCCCCGGCCGCGGCCGAGTGGAACAGCAGAGTCCCTACCGAAATCTGGTGGAAACTGGCGCTTAGCGGACACCACCCTGCGCTTGGGCGGCGGAAGCGGGGCCCGCTTCTCTAGCCCCCTCTTCGTCCCCAACTCACCGCCGCCATTTCTCTTCTCCTTCGCCACCAAGGGGCCAGCAACCCGCTCGCCGCCGTGCGTGGCCAAATCACCGGCGACGGCCACCGCATTTCTCGCCGGCGCCACCACCTCGCGCTCACGCTCCATTCCACCTCCTCTGCCTCCACCACGAGTCGTCCCCTCCAGCACGCGCCCTCGCACTGTACTGGTGCCCTCGCCTCGCCCATCCGCAGCGACGGGACGAGGAGGAACCGCGCCCGGGCGAACGTCACGCTGCGTGCATCGGCTTCTCCATGGCTGCGCCGCGTGGAGCATCATCTCGGAGAGTTCCAGCGTCGGCCCGTCCATCGATCGCCGCCCTACAATCACCACCACCGAACACAAACCGCAACAAATTTAGCCGTTACATAGGCAATCCATACGACGAACCCAAGCAGAGGACGTGATGAACCGAAACAGAGGCGTCCTCCTACCGTCCTCCGCTCGCGCAGCAACCCGCTCCGCGCCGGACGTGGCCGAGCCACCGGCGACGACGGCCACCGCATTCCTCCCGGTCCCCGCCGCGTCCTCGCGCCTCGCTCCGCTTCCACCACGACTCGTCCCCTCCTCCCCGCGCCCCCGCACTCCACCGCTCCCCTCGTCGCCACGCCCACCCGCAGCCGCGGGACGACGAGGAGGAGGGGGAGGAGGACAGCGAGCCGGAAGCGCGGCCGAGCGAGCGTCGTCGCCGCCGCCCCACTCCGCCCCCCATCCGCTTCTCCTCCACGTATGCCGCCGCGCAGCGCTGCTTAACATCTCCCGGAGATCCAGCCCGCTCATCGATCACCGATTCACCGCCCCTGCAAATCACCCACCACCACCACCAAGCACAAAAACCCGAACCAAATTAGCCGTTACGCACACATCCACACGCCAACACCACGAAACCGAAGCAGAAGAACACGAACGACGAGAACAGAGCCGCGCCGAAGTAGTCCCGAGGCGCGCGCGCGCCCTCACCTCCTCGTCCAGAGACCGGCGGCGACGCGGCGAGGCCGAGAGCGCGGCGAGGGGGAGCGAGGCTGCGAGCCTGCGAGGAGTTGGGGGGGTTTTGGGCGAGGAGAGAATCGAGAGAGTGGGTGGGGCCGTGAGGGGTGGAAATGTGGAATGGGAGGAAGGAGGAGCTCGTGACTGATACGGGTAGGGGCCGGGAGGGATGGGTTCGCCCGCCACGTGGCGGCCGGACGCCCCGCACCTGAAAGATTCGGATTGACTCGGGTCGGGTCGGGTCCGAACCTCCGAGTCTCCGACTGGCTCGGTCGCTGTGCACGCAACGCAAGCAAACGAGTGGGGTGAGAAAACGGTTGGGGGTAGGGCCGTCAACGAGCCGAGCCCGAGCGAGCTTACCTATATAGGCTCGAGCTCGGCACCAACTCGAGCCGAGCTCGAGTCGAGCCTGTTTAAACTACAAGCTTAGAAATGGGCTCGAGTTCGGCTCGCTCGAGTCTCGAGCTTTCTCGAGCCTAACTCGTGTGCCCTCAAATAACCAATACAGATGAAAGGAGGCTGCATGCATGCTTGTCGAGTACTACTAGTACTAGTAGCTTTTTCAAGCATAATATGACAACTAGTAGTACTATTAAATAGAGCTGCATGCATGCTAGTAGTACTAATAGGCTAGTGCTGCAGAGTAATGTAGTACTAGTAGGCTAGTGCCTGCACGGTACAGCTCTGCACGCTCTGTGTTTCTATACTGCTTTTCATTGGGAGTAAGAGTAGTACTAGCTGTTGCATTGAAAATTTAAGAACTTGACAGAGGGAAATCTGGGCTCGACGAGCTATTCGAGCTCGGCTCGTCAAGCTCGCAAGCTTGGAGCTAGGCTTGAGTTCGGCTCGAATTGTTGACGAATCGAGCTCGAGCCGAGTCTACAGCGAGCCGAGCTCAAGCAGCTCGCGAGCCTCGAGCTTTTTTGATAGCCCTAGTTGGGGGTCTCAGCAACCTTCGCTTCTCTTTTTATAGGCGGTGACGCTGAGTCGGTGACGCCGCGGTACTAGTACTCCATTACTGTAGTGCATTTACTGGGGGGCGTAAATACAATTTTAGATGGTTGTTATTGCGGCATTGATTCTACTCTACAATGGTGAAACGGCTAGGTGAAGATATTTTCCATAATAAGTTTATAATTATGATTTTCACACGGCTAATCCCATATTATCTACTCCCTCCAATCACAAATATTTTATGTTTAAGATGAGGTTTGGTCAAATTTTAAACTTCAACCATAATTTTAGTATTAGAATACATTTATGACATCGAATAACTTTATGATGTCTTTTTTTACTGTTAAGTTTATGATATTTAATGATAGTTTTAAGGCAAATCTACATACGTGTATTTTTCTTAAAACAAAACATTTAAGAAATTATTAATGGTTAAAGTGTGAGGAACCAGTTAATTAAAAATGGACACAATTATATTTAAAACTCTTGCTAAGTATTTATTTCATTATTTTGCTAAGAAATATAATTATTTTGGACCTACTTGTCATTGACACTCGTGTCAGTCTAGCAAAATTCAGCTATACAACGCATGAGTATAGCTGAATTCAGCTATTTTTTTACCATGAGAGACGGGTCCCACTGATCATTCACATTCTGGTAGACATCAGCCACACCATGCAAGTTACTCCGTAACTATACTTCGTAATCTTTACTCCCCATTAATCATCCAAAACCAACAGCAAACACACAGACTTTGGTGCGCCCCCTGAACGGTGTATGTCGGTTACTCAAACATGTCACTTACCGGTGGGTCCTCCTTGCAGCGCCGCTGATTTATTCATAAGCACTATCCAAAGGACAATCACACAGCAGGAAAGCGTATCTATTTAACAGCTTCGGCTAAGTTTGGTAATATCCATCTCAAAATATAAATATGTTTAGCTAAAAATTTAAACAATTATATATTCATATTTATAATTAAAATTTATTATATTTTAACACGAAGATAGTAATTCTATAAATTATCGCGCCCTTCACATCAATGATCTACACAAGATCATCCACACTTTTTATCTCACCCTTTTCTACTGTACACATCATGCTTAATTGCTCATTCGCTTAGTAGCAGGAGCAGTACGGATCGGGATACTCCGCATTAGAATATTATCTCTTTTTTTAAACTACATTGGAATATTATTGATGCAAGTTATATCATTTGCACAATGGCCCATCCTATCCACCCTCGATTTAAAATGATGGGCTAGATCAGGGATCCGGATCCTCTGCAGTAATGCATAGGTGCACTATTCATGTTAGTAGCACAATAAATCAATGCATCAAACAATGTCGATCCATTAACGAAAATACTGTCAAACATTGATGAGTATTGTAGCATATTTATTGTAGCGCACGATCTAATCCATCTGATCAAACAGTCTCCATTCCCTCTAATGTTGGGTATTGTAGATCAATTCAGAGGATCCTGATTCTTAGATTAGATATTCAGATGCTAAGTAACTATATGATGAGGTACTGGTCCCGATCTTCCAATAGGTAGTGATAACTCTCGATTTGGCGGAAACTTGACACACACGATTCAGCTTTCGATCGACACGATCCGAACCCTGTAATTGTAGCACCACGTCTCCTCTGGTTATCAACCGTGCACTGCCCGGTTGACCTCAAACAATCCGTACATGCGAATCGAAGAACACAAGCAAGAATAAGGTAGATTGCAACTTAATTGCATATGAATGATTAAGCGCTTCAATTTGGAGTTCTACAAACTGAGCAAGCAGCAAAACTGTAATGGCATAAATAATCTAAGCAAAACCCCATTCTAAACTATGATGGCTATTGAATAAATATGATAAGTGATGTCCGAGTTTGCCCTAGGACTCCACCTCCTTGCGCTTAGCCCATGACATAATTATAAGGCTCAAATCAAACTCGGACTGTATAAGGTACGTAACTTGTTTTGCAGACTCCCAACACCTCGATAGGAATTTTGATGTAGGACCAAAACCATCTGAAAAAGTAGATTCCATAAGCTTTCCAACAAGTACTCATGCGCCCCGAGATTCCTTCTAGATCAACAGCTAGGCCCGTTTGAAATGATGTTATCAAGAGACCGAATCCGAATCCAAAACGTGTATAACTTCTTCTTTTGCTTTCTATGGACCAAAAGTGACGTGGTAACATGGGAGTAGACTTAGGGAAGGTCTTGGTTTGGTCCCAATCAGCTTCTTAATTTGATCATCCATGTATTTCTGAAGGTGGGGATGACGTCAAGTCCGCATGGCCCTTATGGGCTGGGCCACACACGTGCTACAATGGCAATGACAATGGGAAGCAAGGCTGTAAGGCGGAGCAAATCCGGAAAGATTGCCTCAATTTGGATTGTTCTCTGCAACTCAGGAACATGAAGTTGAAATCGAACGTAATGTCAAAGAAGTGGCTCGGCGAGGGGCTTTATGCTGATTCAAGGCCGAAGGACAAAGCTCTTCCTCTTCGTGCTTGTCCTAAATAATGATATTCACTGAGGTGTGCTGGCTCTGCTTCAATCCGTTTTCTTGCTCCATGCCAATCGAAGATGAACCATTCACCGAGCCGAGTATGTGCAAGACAAGACACGGCTCTCGCACTCGGTCTCTTTTCCTTTACCCAAGCAAATATCTTTGAAAATGAGAACACGCAAAACTCATAGTGCAATAATGTTTGTTCAAATATATGACACTTAAATCCCACATAGAAAGCATGCACTTGGTTTATGAATATATAAGGTAATCATGGTCATATCCAAGCTAGTAATATCCTCATCACTATAGCTATAGTTGAATCTGCACAACACTATCGACGGGCTATACCCGAGAATGGTATTTGTAGAGTATGGAAGTCATCGGTACCAAGGTATACACGAGATTGTAGTAAGAAGACGGGGACAATGACTTTTATGCTAGTTTGGGTCATCAAGATGAGTAATAACACTACTCCGGTTCATATGTATATCTCTGGAAAAGTACCACACTAGTTACAATCGAAGAGCAAGTTAGCTATTCTAACCCATCAACTAGGATCCGTCGAGTAATTCTCGACGAGATGATGTCCGCACTAGGGCTTATCTTCCTCCTGGCTATCTTTTAGTGTGGCTCTGGCTTGGGCTTGCAATTCAATGCTCTTTCCTCTTGGGAGGGGTATATTTATACGGCTAGATACATTTTTCTCCAAGTAGAACTCGAAGAACCCTGTTAGGATATAGGCAAAGGAAACCTTGCCTCTTCTGGGCCAAACTTTTACGTCTTCTATTCCTGCAAAAGCAGTTTCCTTTCTTACTCGCTTTATATACTTTTTGTATAATATTAGATATGTGTATTTTTGTATGTCATAAACTCATGTATAGGAGGTATGCACTATCTGTAACACCAATACTTACTTCTGGAACAGTAAATTCATCACTATACAACAGTGCTTTTTTCCTAAGGTATTGCTAAACCTGGCCAAATGGGCCGTGCCAAGCCGGGCCGGCCCGAGCACGGCAGTACTGTAGCCGGCCCAGGCCCGGCACGGCACGCCAGCCTGTGGGCCGTGCCGGCACGGCCCGTTATCCCGTGCCGTGTTTGGGCCGATGCCTCAGCCCGTGGGCTGGCACGGCACGGCACGTTTACTGTAGCGTACCGGCACGGCACGGCCCAGGCATGGCACGGCTCACCGGCCCATTTATTTTTCCTACGATTTTCTAATTTTTCCCATATATTTCTCATATTTTTTATTTTTTTCCACATTTTATCCTATTTGTACCATATATTTTATGATATATTTCCTAAATTTTCCTCACATTTATCCTATATTTATCATTTTTTCCTTTATATTATGTTTTTTCTGCCTTTTTTCTTTTTTTCCCCTCAAATTTCAATTTTTATGGGCCACATGTACTAGTGGGCCGGCTACCAGCCCACGTGCCACTACAGTAGCCGTGCCGGCCCGGCACGGCCCAGCACCTTCTTGGGCCGTGCTTGGGCCGTGGCCTTGGCACGTGGGCCGGCACGGCACGGCCCGCTATAGGAGCCGTGCCTAACGGGCCGTGCCCTAGTGGGCCGTGCCGTCGGCGTGCCGTGTCGTGCTGGGCCGGGCCGCCCGTTTGGCCTGCTATAGGTATTGCTGCGCTCACCGTCCACACAAAGTCAATTACTGTTCAAAACAGTCCCTTTCTCTGCGTTACTGCAGAGAAAATGCTATGCATAGGCAAGGGTCACTGACGCCGCTATAATGGTTGGGAGGACATGGGAAGCCGCAACCACTGCCGGTGCCGACGATGTCAAGGGAGGACGAGGGAGCACTGTCGCCGTCACTGTCGAGAGGAGAACATCACCGGCGGCGCCAGTGATGTCAAGGGAGGACGGTGGAGCACCAGCGCTATAATCGTCGAGGGGAGACCACTGCCATCGCCGAGAGAGGAAGCCATAAAGGAAGGAACGATAAGTTGATGAAATCAGATTTCACACAATGGGGAATGGAGATATATACCTTAATACTATCTCCGTTTTAAAACATAGCTATTTCTGGCACAGTAAATATTTACGATATTTTGTATATAAGACCTTTTATTTTGTAAATATTATGAAGTCAACTAGGAAGGTAACCCGCGCATTCGCGCGGGCATATATTATAGTTTGTGTTTCAAACACTGTACAACATTCCAGAATATAAATCGGAAAGAAATTTCGTACAGATGCACATGCATCTTTTTTTTTATTAAAAAAAGGAGTGCTAAAAGGAATCATATATCACTATGTATATATATACTGTAAGAGAATTTAGATTATCCTACAATAAAAAAGAAATATGTTTACCCTAAAATAGATGATAGATTTTAATATACTACTAATGTGATAAGAGTGTCTCTTAGATTTAAATAAAAATCCCTTTATTCTGGTCATATATAAACTGGTTGTTTGTCATCACTACTTACTATCATTGTTTTAAGAGTTAGGTGCACTTTTAATAAATGAAATTGTATTAGTACCACTAAAACAAACGATACATTATTAATACATTAAAAAATTCATCTACACTACATAACCTGTCGTTCATCACTTATTTTTACGTATATGTATAAATAAGCTAAATATACCATATCTACCGAATAATACGATAACACCATTAAAAATAAACATGAATGCCTCTCTAATGTATGAAGTCAGCTGTATCTGCCAACCAAGGCTTCCATATGTAATGCCTTAAAACATACAGGTCTCGCATTGATATAGCCATGCCCCTAAAAACCATCGTAGAGTACAATTTTAATACTTAGTTCACTATTGGTACACTCACAATTGATTATATTTGTAAGTACATCACTTTAGTTACATTGCCTATGATAGCCTTTCATGGACACCACCTTAACTCAACCATGTACATGCCCATGCAAATTTATGATGGCATAGCAGGTATTGCACCCTGCATTGAAGGACAAAGAGGGACAGAAAGAAGGAGGTGATGAAAATAATTTTTTTAAGTTTTGAGTCGATTGTGGTAGAGAATAGATAAAATATGTATATGAAGTTAGTAATAAGTACTTCTCAAATTTTAATGGAATACATACAATATTATGTTTCTCAAATGACTGGGGTTAATCATTCGACACTACTTAAAAAAAACTATAACTAAAGAGACGTACCACCACGAAAATCTGCAAAACACCATATCATTATTTATATTTTGATAAAGATTTATACTTTAGCGCCAAATTTGTTTCCACCATATGTTGCTTATAACTATACGAGACTCATTTACTAATTCTAAGAATGTACTTATTTCACAAACTTATTTACACTAACTAATTTGCTAGAGTGCACTTATAGATGGGTTCAGTGGTGTATAACATTCGTCCATCAATTATACCTGGTATATTAGAATTTCTATCAACTATAAAAAAATATCATAAGTAGTTTGATGCGTATTTTATTGGATTATTCATGTTTTGCCAATACTACTTGGCAAAGAAAATACATAATTCTTGTGATGAATTAAGGGTTGTATTCTAGCAAAACGATTGTCTAAAATCTTATTTATTTATTTTTTTTTCACATCTATCTATCATGTATGCTTCTCACTCCTCAAATAGCAATAAAAAAGTTTTGAAAAATTTCAGATAGTTTTAGAATCTCAATCTCACCCAAAATAAACCTAAAAAGATCCACTTAAAAACCAAAGCTCAATTATGTTGTTTTATTACCACTCGCTAAAATTTAATTTAATTTTCTCATCAATCTATTAATTGTGCTTCTGACACCTCAAATAAGAAAAGTTTTGAAAAATTCCAAATACTTTGAGAATCTCAATTTCTCCCAAAATTAAATAAACCTAAATAGATGTACTTAAAAAACAATTCTAGGTTTTGTTATTTTAATTTTTTACATATGTAGATTCAAATTAACGTTATATATTTGTCAAGTGATATTTGAAACCATAAAATATCATATGAAATTATTTGAAACATTATTATCGCATTAACTATTACATGTTGGTATCATTTGCCATGATATATTTATCACTACAACAAGTTTACGATTAAGTTTAACTGTGCATATCTATGTAGTATTATTTTTAATAAAATCGTAGATTAAAGGTTGTTGACAACAAATTAGTGCTGAACTGATGATTTTATCAATATTTCTTGCCGATACTACTATGTACGTGTGCGTGCTTTCTTTTTATTTTTTTCTTTATCTTTTTTCGATCATATATGGTGTAGGTATTTAAATTTTGTTTTTTTCTTGGGAAGGAGACGATCGTACGACTTAAGCACGCCACTTTTTTTTTACCGGGATAGAGATTAGTAGCATAATCCCTTTTTTTTGAGAAATCCGTCCGTTTCTTTAAAGCTCTAATCCAATGTTTAAAATAACTGGTCCACTAATTTAAGTGAAAATTGAAGGTTGGATGGTTTTCTTTTTTTACTCTAAATTTCTAGGATTTCTCTTATTTTATTAGAGCGTCACATGATAATGTAATGTAGGAGTGTTTGCAGGACATTTAGTAGACTTTTAGTATATAATAGATTTTTATGATTTCTCTAAATTATTAGAGAGCCACGTAGCGGTGTAAAAGCGTTTGTAGAAAGTCTAATGTACTTTTAGTATATAATAGATAGATTTAGAAGATGCTTTGAAAGAATATTGATTGGATATTTATTATAGATCTTAATTTAACTGAATATATTTATATTTGTGAAGTAATATATTTTATCTTTATATTGTAGAAAGTCATATTTTAAATACCGTTGATTTTTATGAATGTATGTTTTTATGTCTTTTTTATGTATATGTGTATTTGTTTTTCTTCTAGCAAAGATTAGGAAAGTTTTGTTTTCAATCATATACGTTTGTACGTACGGAAAGTACAGCAGTGGCATTTGTAACGTACAAACTTATAAGTACGCTTGTATGTTATAAACATGAGGATGTTATTATTTTCTAATAATAGATCTAATCTAATTGTGTAAAATAACGGATCCATCAATTTAAGTGAAAATCAACGGTGAGATTAGATAGTGCCATGTGGCGACTTAGGAGCGTTTGTAGTAGTGCCACGTGGCGGTTTGAGAGCGTTTATAAAATGTTTAATGGACTTTTAGTATATAATAGAAGATAGATAGATAGATACTTGTGTACCATACCTGATATTGTAAGGTATCACCCTTATATCGATGGGATATAAGGGTGAAGACGGAGGAGAAGCCATCCCCGTCGTCGCTGCCAGAAAGGTGGATCTAGTGGCAGAGGCTCCCACGGCGGATATCCACTCTCCCCGGTGGCGATGGCTTCTCGTTGATTTTGTTAATGGATTTTGTCTGCGGATGTTTGTTTTAGTCGTGATTGTGTGCTTGTATTCTTGGATGGGGATCTCATGGATGATTGAGAGCTCGATGCCTCGATGCATTGGCTCGACAGCTGTTTTTTTTCTGAATTTTTGGGACCTCAAAGGTGCCGGTCCTTTCATTTCTCTCATATGTGCCGCCTGCTTGCTAGGTGCCGGTTGAGCACCTATCTAGGTTTTTTTTAGTAGTGGCCACACCTGGCCCAACCGCACAACCTTTCCAAGAACATTTTTGTACGAACTTCCATGCGTGTAAAATCTTCTAGCTTAGCCCAGAAAGTTACATTTCCTGCTGCTGCAGCTCATGCACTGTACGAGCAAGGCCTGATGCTCTCGATCCATCTCGGGCTGATCCGGACCCTCTCCAGGCTTTGCTTCAGCACACGCTCGAACGATGGTTTGAACCCTTCACCGGCGAAGAACTCGGAAAATTCAGTAGCTTTCTCCTCCGTGGTGACCTGATCATGCAGAAAACAAATAGAAACATAAAAGGGAAGGAGTGAATTTAGTGCCTGAGAAGGAAGAGCAATGGAGAGAAAAGGGGGTAACTTCGCTTACCCGAGAAATTGACGAAGTCTGATAGTAGTGAATTTGATGGCCAGGTCTTCAAGACATGAACCGGTTTTCCTGCATCATGCATAGATGGGGACTCATGGTCACAGATATCCAACTTGCTCTGAACTCCAGAATCAGGCCTGTTAAAAATAACAGAACTTATTACTGTAACTTCTTTGATTTGCTCATTCTAAGATGTGCATTATTCAGGTGGCATCTTTTCTGTAAGTGGAAATATGTCGCGTTCATTTTGATATGCTGGATTTCCCTTAAATTGCAGAGCTATTCAGCGTCATGAATGGGGTTGGAGCTTTCATCTCACCGAGGTGATGATCTAATCTCTTTTAGATAATGAAATAACTCAGTCACAACCGCTGCACTGGTAGGTACACAAAGCTCATTAGCATACTCCTATTTGGTGCAACTGCATAAACAGCTTCACTTCATCTGTTAGAACGTTGATTCCCACGTTTTCTATGAAGTACTGTGTTTCTTTTGTTCTGAACTATCACAGAGTTACTTGGGAAAACCTTTTGGATTTGTTCTCTGGTTTTCTAAAAGAGCAGGACTGAATGATAGTAGTATTGAGCAAAACAAATGATTGCACCAGTTTTGGGTAAAGAGACCTAATTATGCAACCAGGGAGGGTAACATACACACAATTGCACTAACTTCGATATTGGCGTGAACGGTAGAAAGGAATTTTGATAATCCAGCTTCCCTATTTCATAATTATTTTGACTATTTTAGTTTCAAACCATAAACTTTAGAGCAATTTTACGGTCCTTAAGGAGGTACAATGAGGTACCAAATTTTACATTATTTTTTTTGTTACCTCATGATACCTCATAGTACCTAGGTACCAAATTTACAATAGAAAAAGTGATACCTCATGGTACCTTCTCAAGGACCATAATTTGATTTGGCATAGCTCTGTGTAAAATCTAAATTTGATTCTCGTATTGATATATACACCTAACATGTATTGGCATTTGGTGGAACTTGAACTTTGAACCCCTCATAACAGTAAAAATATTGAGCATCACAACAGTGCTTATAGTTTTTTCGTTCATAAATATCAGAAATCTGTGCGTTGTTTATCAGATAGCAACATAAATAACCCACTTTAGGTACCCTGAAACTATAGCATACCTTCAATCAGCCCATGCAACTTCTCAAACTTCTAATATACTACCACCATGGACATAAAATGCATCTTGATTCCGTACCTGGCAAGCAAGAGAGAGACTAGACTGGCTTATGTATCCATGGTGTAGAATAGAATCTCATTCCACCATTTACTGTCTTGAATCATCGTTTGTTCAGAAATTTAGAGCTTAACCTCATCACTCATCAGTGACCATGAAGTTTGGTGCCTCAAGAACAATATCCTTAGCTGGGCATGAAGACAATGTACCTACAATAGAAGAAATATTACTTTTCAGGACAACACAACTCATCATAAAATCCCTGCTGTGTCACTTAAGCTAGACAGTCAGAACGCACAGTCCTAAAATGCGTGACTTGACTGACTTCTCCAGTGCTTCAGCAGTTTCTCTGTAGATTTTAAGGAGAGCACCATTACCACCTCTGCTGGAGGTAGTAACAGTCTGCATCATAGAAAGATATGAAGCCTGCAGATCAATACATATATTAGTACACTAGATACCAAAGACGTGACACTATAGCGGTATGTTAAGAAAAAATCTGAACTTTTCTAGTGTCTGGTGGAAGAAGGTTAGTTTTGCTGTCTTTTAAGAAGATATGGAACCGCCTAACTCCCTCATTTATAGTCTCTTCATGTCCGAGTTCGACAAGGGCAATCAAGAGCAATGATCTAAGCACTACATCAAGATGGTTCTCACCATCCTTGGGATCCCAGCCTAGTGTTCTGATATTTAGCTATGTGCAGAGGAAGTTTTGGTTGTCCAGGAATCTTTTGTAATTTGTATTTCAAGACCCTTGAACCTTTTAGACCTTCTCTCCAGCAATCCAACACAAGATACAACCCATCATAAGTAAATGTTAAGATTTGTTTAGCTCTTGAATGACTGACGTCCTCTCTATTTTGACCTTTGAATCCATGAATCACTCGGACAGGTGTCTTTGTCTTGATGCAATTTTTCAAGGCAAGGTTCCCCCTCCCTAGCTTTTGATCCTCGTGTTTCTCCTTACCAGCAGGCTTTCCTCCAGAACCAGTATATATCAGTTCACCTGAGCTTGACAATTCATCGGGATAACCTCCAGAAGCAACGATGCTTATTGCAACAAGCACTCCATTATGATCGGTGGTATCAATTCCTCCCTGGTATGGGCGATGAAGACCAACAAGAGCTAGCTCAACTCTGTACAGAAATTCGTCACCGACTTCGACTCCACGAACATTTCCCACAGTAGGTCCATGTTTAGTAAAGCCCGGCAATTTCCTGATGATTTTATCAGCTTCAAGGTCAATTCGTCGAACCATCAATGAGCCTTGTTCAACAGCATGTAGAAGAGCGTTGCATATAAATTGAAACCTCCTGCATAGCATCCTGATTTTGCTCCTATCATTGCCATTCTCACTTCCATGTTGCCTGTGACGCTCAACGCATGAGGGAACATTGAGATACAACTCTAGCTTTCCATTATGAACAGCTAGTGCCTTCAAAATATCATCATCTTCCAAGCTCAAAGCCTTTTCATTGATAAGGTTGTCCTTGCCCGCCAATCCAGATGTAGAGACAATCTTCATAGGAATACCTTTACTTTCATGCGGGCTTTTCACCTTCACCTTCTTCTTAGGACCAAATGATGCACTATTTGTTACAACAGACTCCTCTTTTCCCATGGAGAAGGGTATATGCAGAGTATTCAGTGGTGGCTTGACTGCTTTTCTAGCTGTCAATAGTAACTTAGTTCTCATGATACCATCACGAAATACTTCTGTTGGAACATTCATGGATGATTTTTTCATCCCATCTTTTTCACACTCCCTCTTAGCCTTGAAGTGTTCTTTGGAAGGACCTTCAGCCCAAGGTTCAGCCGCAGCTTTGGATTTGGTCCCTTTGCATTTATTCATCACCTTAACAACGTCAGCAGCTGCAGATGCATATATCGTCTCCTCATGCTGTGATGTGTTTCCGTTCTTCACACTAGAAAAATGCCTAATAGAAACTTCTGGAGCAGTATTTGCTGAAACAGCTGCCTCATGTCTACTAATTGTAGACTCATGTGGGTTAACAGTGGTAGCAACTTGAGCCTCCTGAATATGGTCCCCTGTAGTTAACTCAACCTCCACCAGTTCTTGGTCATGAGCAATGCTGCCATGATCTTCCATTGCAAGACTAGGAACTTCCCTTTTAATGCCATCACTCCCCAACACTCTCTTGCCGTGGACAATTTCATTGAAAGGACCACCAATTGAACATTTACCACCCATTGACAAGTGTTTTTCAGTTGCCTCCGCAGCATAACTACACCCTTCCATCTCATCAGAACCACACCTTGTCAAAACTTCAGTAACAGCAGAAGTTACAGGAACAGCACTTTCAAGTTTTTCTCCATGACCAGCAACTTTTTGTGACTCCACATCACAGCATGCCTCAGCAGCTACCTCACCCTCCTCCAATTCCTGGCACTTTACTGTTCCGACAATGTTCGAGGCACACTGGTTAACCGAATTATTACGGCCATCCGTAGTCACCACCTCCTTTGACACACCCCAACCAGCATCAACAGGCATGGCTTCCAAACTTGAACCTACCTTACTCTCTTCTCTGTGAGCAAGTGGAGCCACAGCGTCCCTCCCACACCCAGGAGGGAAGCGGCGCGTCGCAGATACAATCCTCCTCTTGGGAAGCAAATTCGCGGCTTGAGCCAACACTTCCTTCCTTCCCAGCAATTCACCGCCGTGTCCTCCCTTTCCCCTCGCTGACCCTTCTGCGCCATTTTCCAGTGAACCAACTTTGCGAGCGACCTGATTCTCATCCGAAACATGTGAAGATTTCATCAAGACCGTGTCCATCATAGCATGATGATGATGATGCGCATTCGCCATTGAATCGCCACCATCTACAGACGCCACCTTCTCCACCACACCCGGAACAGCAGAATCATCTTTGCTGCCAGCGAGAGGAGCAGCGGTTGCCTCATCCAACAGACGAACACCACCATCACAACCGCGGCCGCGGGCGACTGGAGCAGCAGCGTCCCTTCCGCAACCTGGGGGAAACTGGCGAATAGCGGACACCGCCCTCCGCTTGGGCGGCGGCGGCGGCGGCGGCGAACGCGCGGCCCGCTCCTCCAATCCTCTCTTGGTCCCCAACTCGCCGCCATGTCTCTTCTCCTCTCTCGCCACCACCTGGCCAGCATCCCGCTCGACGCCGCGCGTGGCCAAACCACCGGCGACGGCCACCGCATTTCTCGCCGGCACCGCGTCCGCTGTTCTCACCGGCGCCACCACCGCGCCCTCGCCTTCCGCTCCACCATGAGTCGTTCCCTTCTCCCCGCGCCCCCGCACTCTACTGGTCCCCTCGCCTCGCCAACCCGCAGCGACGTCGGGACGACGACGACGAGGAGGAGGAGAGCGAGCCGGGCGAGCGTCGCCGCCCCACTCCGCCCATCCGCTTCGCCGCGGCTGCCACCGCGCGCCGCTGCTCAACATCTCCCAGCGATCCAGCCCTGCAATCACCACCACCACCAAGCACAAAAACCGAACCAAATTAGCCGTTACACATCCACACGCCAACACGGCGAGCCCAAGCAGAGAACAAACAGAGGCGCGGCGCGGCGCGGCCGGCGGACCGGCCGAAGCGTACGCCCTCACCTCCTCCTCGTCCAGGCACCGGCGGCCACGGCGGCGAGGCCGAGGCGGCGAGAAGAGAGCGCGCGGCGAGCAAGCAGCTGGGGTTTCTGGGCAACGCCCCACTTTTCTCCCCTTCTCGTGATTGATACGGCGAGGCCACGTGGCGGCCGTACGCGAGGCCAGCCGCAGCCGCACCGGAAGGCTTGACTCGCTTGACTCGGGTCCGAGCCCGGCGACAGGCGACAGCTGGTTCGGCTCGGTGGCGGTGCACGCGCACGCAGCTCGAACGGAGGCTGGGTCGCAGCGCGGCGCGGGTGGCGTGAGCCAACGGTTTCTTGCAACCGCGTTGTTGACGCATGAGTAATTTTTAAGAACCCCGCTATGCATCCGATGTTCTTTGTCACATCATAATAATTATTAAGACCGGACCGGTCATTAAACCAGCGATGCTCTCAATTCAATGATTTATTGGTTCAACTGGTTAAAGTGTTGAACCACTGGTTTGAAGCGGTTCAATCTAATGTAAATATATTGTTTATCCCTTCAAAACACAAGGTATATCGTAATCTAGTGGTTGGTTGGTTTACTTTTATACATGAGGTCCTGGGATCGAATCCCACCCTTTTCCCTCTCCAGCTGCGAAGGTGACCACGCACAATGCAGATCGGGCGGCCCAACCGGTATATACCAGGCTGATTGCACAACCGGTCTTTTAGCTGGACTAGACCGGCGTACGACTAAACGGCAAAACAGCAAATGCATAACGGCGTGACATTTCGGATGTATGTGTAGCATTTTCGAATTTTTAACTATGTTAGAAAAGTACTCGTGCGTTATAACGGGATGTAAGTGTTTGGAGTTAAAAAGGAACCGGTTTCGGTTTTTTCCGATCCAACCGCCGGTCCGGTCGGTTCCAATAACTAGGTGTCCCACCGGCGTACGACTAAATGGTAAAACAGCAAATGCACAACGGCGTGACATTTCGGATGTACGTGTAGCATTTTCGAATTTTTAACTGTGTTAGAAAAGTACTCGTGCGTGTAAGTGTTTGTAGTTAAAAAGGAACCGTTGTCGATAATTTTCTGATCGAGCCGTTAGTGTTCATGGCAGAATTAGACGACAACATGCTTAAATTGAAGTGTTATTTGAGGAATTATTAAAAACTACGACACGTTTTTTGAGTGGAAAGCTTTGAAATATAACTATACTATAATACAATATAATTTATATGTAAATATATTATAAAATATGTAACTTTATACTCTATATTTATATAATGTTACACCGTTGTTATATGTTGTAATTACAATTGAAAGTTCGCGATGATTTTTTTTGGCAATTATCTTATTTAAATCAGATAAGTCGCGGAATATTTTTTAGGGAAAAATATGTATTTAAGCTTAGTCTGATTTTTATTATCGTAGATTACCTTATATTTTGTTTAGAGTAAATTGCACCCACGGTACAACAACTTGGCAGGTAGGGGTGGACAAAAAACTTAGGCTCGTGAGCTTGGCTCGGCTCGAAGACTAAACGAGCCGAGCCCGAGCTCCCTCCACAGCTTGTTTGCAAATCGAGCCGAGCCCGAGCTAGCTCACGAGCCGCTCGGTAGGCTCGTCAAGCCTGTGAAAAACATGACCTAGCCTAGCCCATTAACAAGTTGTCTCAGTCTGGCCCATAAAAAACAACAGAGAACCCTACCCTAACTGCTCCGTCCGACCCTCCCCATTCCCCATCCCACGCAGGTGCAGGCACGCCGCCGCACGCACGCACGACCGGCGTCACTAGCGAGAGGAGTTGCCGGCCGCCACCTTCGGCTCCATCCCATGCGCCGCCACCCATCGGCTTGCCGCCTTCCTCCCCCGTCCCCAGTCGCTCCTCTGTGCCGCCGGCTCGCCGCTTCCCTCCCTGCGCCGCCTCCTTCCCCTGTGCGGCTGCGTGGCTCCGGCCTCCCTCACCAGCGGCGCTCGACGCTCCCCGCGCCACCACGGCGCCGCTTCCCTCCCCCATCCCCAGTCACCCCTATGTGCCGCCGGTTCGCTGCCTCCCTCCCCTGTGCCGCCGGCCCGCCACATCCCTCCGGCCCGCCCTCCCATGCGCCGCCTCCCTCCCCTGTGCGGCTGCACCGGCTCCGGCCTCCCTCCCCAGCGACACTCGACGGTCAATGGCTCGACACTCCCTATGCCGCCGCGGCGCCGCCTCCCTCCCCTGCGCTGCCTCCGGCCTCCCTCCCCAGTGCCGCTCGGCCACCCTCTCAAGCTGGCTCAAGCCGGCTCGAGCTTTTAAATGAGCCAAGCCGAGCTGCACTTTTTGCTCGTTCCATTTATCAAGCCGAGCCGAGCCAAGCCTGTTCTTGACCAAGCTTTCACGAAGCCGAGCTCGGCTCGGCTTGGCTCGTTTCCACCCCTATCGGCAGGTGGGTGCGATATAGTGCAAGAACTTGAGAATTGAATGTCCGAGTGCAACAACTTGACAAGTGGGTGCGTTCTAATACAAGAACTTGACAATTTAGTATTTTGGTGAATCAATTTGGCTAAGCATATGCTAGGTGAGTTTTTTCCGATATCAATATGCCAATACATAGTAATCCTATGGATATTATCTTATAATATTGAATTTAATCTTTAAGAATTATATTGCACATACAATTTACATTCAGTTTTCTTTAAGAATTTTTTTGTTTTCTTCACCTTCTCAAATATCAACCAAATATAATAATTTCTACATCCAGTTTAATTAACTTTCAGTTATTAGTTATTAGAGTTATTAGTTATTAGGATAAAAATATAAATATGTTTATACAAATCCACGCTAGTATATTGTCAAAATAAATACTTAAAAATTTGAATTTATATAAAAAATGCTCCAAATAATTAAGTTGTCACACAACTTCTTAATTTATTATATCAAAATCGTACTTACCTTGCAAAGTTGCTGTATTTATACGATCACTTATAAAGTTCTTATACTAAATTGCACCTTCTTGCCAAGTTGTTGTAATAGAACGCTCATTTTTCAAGTTATTACACCAAATTACACCCACCTACCAAGTTGTTGCACCGTGGGTGCAATTTACTCATATTTATTATAAGTGACGGCTCGAGCGATCGATAAAGTTTGAGTTTAATCAACTTTTAGTGCAAGCTATGTGTAATATAAATGGAAAGTGAATAGCTGATATATATATATATATATATATATATATATATATATATATATATATATATATATAGAGAGAGAGAGAGAGAGAGAGAGAGAGAGAGAGATAAGGATAGCTAGGGGAATGGGACGGGGTGAGTCTGTACCCACCTGTTCGATCTAAGGCACCTTAGTCATAGTTCAAATGTTGAATAAGCATGGTCGAGCAAAATTTTGATTCGTTGGCTGCAATGTGTGACATTGATCATGGACCCACGTAGAAAAAGAATCTCTAATCACATGCGTCCATCCCTCTCTCGTGCAGCCAGCCAACGACTGCAAATTACCTTTTCATCGCCGAGTTCGTCTCTCCTTCTGTGGTCGATTTTTGCTCTAACATATAACAGTTGGTTGCTGTAGTGTGTTGTATTCGGTTTTTCAAGTATGGTTCGATTTTACTCGTACACTGGAGTTGCTCTAATGCACCATCGGAACCTTGTCTCCTGCCTCCTGGGGCTCGGTCATCTCCATGTACACACAGCACGGGCGCGATGACTCTACGATTTCCATCTTCGCTGCCTTCTGGGAGGCCTCCTACGTGCGTGTACACAATCTAAGGCTGTTTTATTCGGTAAGCAAGTGAATGGGATTGACGTCAAGTTGGACCTGAATGCTAATGTCTATGTTGGGACTACGTCTATCCTATGTTACCCAGATACGGGGATACGGTATTTTTCAGAAAACATGGATACGGAGATACACCTATACAAATTTTATTTTCTAAACTATAAATTTTGGGATACGCCCGTATACAAATAAAGATGGATCCACACATGTCCATGACAAAAAAAAAGAAATATGATGAAGCTTGATTGTTTCATAAAATACTGTTAGTGAGCCTGTAGGCTGCAACAACATTACCAGCCGTACCTTACTACTCCCAAACCCTACATAAAAAACGAATGCGCCTGTACTTTATGGAAACAAATCAAAGAAGCAACAAACCAATAAGCAAATACCCAGCGGTGCATGGGTTGTGTTCAACTATGGCGCTGCGCCTGACCACTGAGGAGGAGGCCCCACTGCGCCCAGTAGGCAGCAGCAGCGCCCGAGCGGCGGCGGGACCACGCTCAGCGGTGGAGGTAATACGTCCAACGGCGGCCAACCGACTCGCGGAGGGGGAAGCATTACATCCGGCTACGACGGGGACACCGTCAGTGCCACACCCAATAGCAGAGGTGGAGCTATGGCGTCCGACAGCGGCAGCATAGGAACCATGCGCTTGTAGGGGCATCAAATGGTGAACAAGATCGAGCCAGCTCACATGGTGGTTGCCATGGATTTGTACTGCTCAGCGATTTCAAGCGATGTATCAAGGCGTATCCACGAAATATCCAGATTTACTTTGTTTTATTTGTTAGTTGTGAAAATCATGGATACGTACGGGACACATATCGGAGCGTATCCGATACCGTATCATCCGATATGGATACGTGATTTTTTTGCCGTATACAGGTAACGTAGTGCCTATCAACTTGTATGCAAAGCTTCGCAGCATGGATGAGGCAATGTTGGTGTTTCATGCACTCCCAACAGGAGGCCCAGGCGCCCAACTACTTGGAATACGGTTATCACAGGATACGCTCAGATTGGGTGTGGTGGAAGGATACGCTCAGATTGGGTGTGGTGGAGTAGCCGTAGAGTTGTTTGACAGTATGGGGATTTAAGGTGTCCGTCTTGATAGGTTTGTACTAACAACTAACAAGTGCTCTGCACTTGGCTTTCTAAAGGGTGGCAGGCAAATACATGGTTACGCATATGTGACACGTGGGCCCAAAATTTTCTTTTTATTTTTATTTTAGTGTCACGTAAACGCCATGTCGATGCCACGTGGGATGAAGAGGGGAAAGTTATACCTGGTTTTGCGGTTGAGGGGTGCATTTCAACCAGATGCATGAGTTGAGGGACGCATATTAGACTTATTCCTACATGTGTCGAAGTTTTACCAAATGGGCTTCAACCCAATAGGCCCACGTAAGCTCGGCCCATCGACGTACAAACCAGCCCTCCGAGACGGAAAACCCAAAACCCTCGTCTCCCTCACTGTCCCGTCCCTGCGGCTGCGCTCCACTCGTCGCCGCCGCCGCCGCCGCCGCCGCCGCCGTCGTCCGCGTCTCCGTCTCCGTCCTCGCCGAGGTATCCCGTCTCGTCTCCTCCGCTCCTTGCGTCATCTCTCTGCTGAACAGGGGAGGGGCGCCGATCTCCATCTGGCGAGCAGAGCAGGGGAGGGGATCCTGGTGAGCATCCACATCCTGATTCATCTCTCTCTCCCACCGGGACTACTTTTGTCTGGAATTTGCTTGCGTTCGTTAACCCTAGCTCTTCTTCTAGATCTGGAAGAAGCTCCTCTCTTAATTTCAGAGCCTTAACCTTAATACAAGTAACAGTTTGTTGTTTGTTCCCCAAAAAGTTTGGCCAAGTTGGATCCGCCGCTGCCTAGTTGCAGAAATGGGATGACATATCTCTTTTCTTTAGTTGAGACCTAATCGGTGGAGCTCGCTTTTCTGATGTTTATTGATGATAGTTTAGTTTACCAACAGTACTGCATATTCTGCATTGCAGAACATTGTGAGAATGGCCTGGAGTCAGAGTGCTAGAAAGCCCATGATTGGGCTTCTGTTTCGCGCCCAACAACATTCTGCTCGGGGTTACTCTTATTCAGCGTTCCAGGCTCACCTTTCGAGCAGCAATGTCGATCAAAGCGCCACACTTCTCAGGAGATTCAGCTCCGAAGTTCCTGCGTCGGAGCAAATGAATCTCATCAAACAGCTGAGGGAGAGGACGAGCGCTCCAATCAAAGATGTGAAGGCTTCCTTAGTTAGTTGCAACTGGGATATTGGTTTGTGCTTATTTCTGATTGCATTAGCATTACTTCATCGGCATACTTGTTTGTATCTGTTAATCCTATTGACAGTTTGTTGATTTCTTTCAGATGTTGCACAGAAGGACCTAAGGAAGAGAGGGGTGGTTCTTGCTGCCAAAAAGTCTTCACGGACTGCAGCTGAAGGTTTGCTTGCTATTGCACAAGATGAGAAAAGGGCCGCTGTGGTTGAGCTTAACTGTGAGACGGATTTTGTGGCAAGAAATGATGTTTTCCAGTATCTGGTTAGTTTTTATCTCAGTATCTTTATGCCATTCCTGATGCCTACTTTTTGTGCATGCTAAACATATAGTGTATTTGAGCATGTAGGTATAGCTTGTTGGTTGTGGCATATCAAAATATGAACAGAATCATTTTGTCCATGTTTTAACTTTCAGTTTCTTTTGTAGGTTTTATTTGAGTATTTCAACATTATGACATTATGCTCTGTTGCAGTTGTACTCTTGAACTTCTTTGATAGCTGTGTATCTTGTAGGATATTCTTTTCCCTATCTTAGACATCACAACAGCATACTTATTTAACTGCCTTGATTGTTCAGCTTGTGCTTGTGCGTGGTTTCAAGGTAGTTAAACTTGATTTATGATTTTTTTTTATATCTCATCAAACTTGCAGGCTTCTTCTTTAGCAAAGTTGGCTTTATCAGCAAGGGATCCTGGTGAATTGGTTTTTCCTTTTGGTCCTGACTATTTGGAGGTATGAAGTTATCCATATATTAATTTGGGTTATGGCGCATTTATTGTGTAATTTATAGAAGCACCACCAATTTTACCAGTAATTGATTGACTCGTCATTTTACAAATTTGAAACCAACTGATCTAAGTCTTCATTAAGTTCCATTTCATGTAAAATTCTACTTTAACAGGTGCTGTGATCAATCTCATGTTATCTTTTCAATAATGGTGTATCTGTATTTAAGCCCACTACACACTACCTTTTCAAATAGTATGGATTCAGTGTGCTGTACTGATAGAGATATTAAGATACTTGTGATCATATTTATGTAACACCCACCACACAGCTGCAAGAGCATCCAGCCATCCACCTGACTAAATCACCACCACGACCACCACCACCCCCAAGCCAATCCAGTCGGGGATGGTTGATACGCGATTGGTCGCGCGCCGGCACACCCGCGCGACCAGCGCTACCCATCTAGTCTCAGTATTTATACGTTTGTATATATACCACAATACAAAGTTTATACGCATGTATATGAGGTATATATACATACGTATATAGACGATAAAATATGTGTAAACTTTGTATATATACCCTACATTTTTTATATGTATACGCATACACTTTTGATGTATAAAAAATATGTATACATGTATACAAAGTTTGTATACAACGTATACAAAATATACAAACTTTGTATACATACGTATACAAAGTTTATATACGTATGTATAAAAAAGGAAAAAATATACATGTATACAAACTTAGTATATGTGTATACATAGTTTGTATAACAAACCGAAAAAAAAAACCCGAAAAAGTGAAAAAGAAACAGAAAAAAAAGGAAAGAAACAGGAAAAGGAAAAAAAAAAGGAAAAGCATGGCTGTCTGCCGCCCTCCTCTTTGCGCGACGCGGGGGAGGGTGCGCACGACTAGCCGCGAAAAAGCAGTTTCGAATCCAGTCCACCACAGAAAGCAGGTGCAGCAAGAAGCAAAGCAAGCAAGCAAGTACAAGCTTTCCATCAAGGCAGCAAGCAACACCAATTTACCACCACCACCAGCCGCACCCACACAGCAAAGACAAGCAAATTGTGGAAGAATATCTGATAGTGTAGAGTAGAGTAGCAGAGCACACAAGAACAGAGCAGTATATAGATACTAGAGAATAGACTGTAGCACAGCAAAGGCCAAAGAGCATGGCTTACTTGCTCAATTCCTCAGTGTTGGCCATAATTGTGCACTGTGCTGGTGTGCTGGTGCATATGTCCAAGCGGCTGGTGGCGTGGAGATGGTAGATGGTGGTGAGTGCCTGGCGGGGAGAACAGAGGGACGATGGAGCAGTAGAAGTCGCAGCGGAGCAGTAGGAGTCGCAGCAGAGCAGGCGAGCTGCCAGTGGATCTAACTACGGTGGCGGCGGCAACGTCTATGGCGACCTCAATCGCCATCGCCTCTCCCAAACCCTAGCCGCTGTTGCACGTGCTCCAATTTGGGGATTAGGTTGGGCAGCTAGGGTGGGGAGGTACTTATATCCTCGCCTGTACTGAGCCGCCTAGGCCACTAGTCGCCCTCTTCACTGCATACTTGCTGCCACAACTAGTCTGAGTTGGACCGAGGATGACTATTGAGGTGGGGCAGCTGCCGAGCTCACCGCCAAAGTGCTAATCGCAGTGCCAAGCTGCCGCCTGGCACCGAATTGCTACCTACAGCTGATTTTTAGCACACTGTTTATGTTGGATATAAAAGGAAACAAGTTAAAATGGCTCAACCATTTAGTCATATGTGACACAAGAACTTCATGGCAGTGGACTGGAAATGCCATGATAAATGTGACTTGGCTCTAGTATTACAGAGGATGCTATGTGGAGATGATCATGATACAAATGAACATGTTTGCAATACCAGCATTAACAACCACATTGTAGATATTGTAGCCATTGTAAATATGTATATATATCCTGCTTTTTTAAACTACATGAAGATTTTAGTGCTTATCAGATATTTAGTTTGGGTAGGCTTATTCTACAGCCCCCCCTTAGAATAACTGTTGCGCACTATCTCCCTCCACTAGAGCCATGCTCTCAGAGAAAAGCCACGTTGATGTGCGAGCCCAGGATCTCTCTCTCTCTCTCACTTCCTGTGCCCTTTGCACAGAGGGCACAGCTTCTTATCCTGTGCACACAGTAATGTCTGTTGCTGTTCCCATGATATGATTTGGTTAGCTTCATATGATATGTTTATCTTCTTTTCCTGGTTTTTTCCATGTGTAAGTAGATATTATAAAGTTGTCTCAAACTCTCAATCATGCAGAACCTTAATGTCAATCTTGATCATCCTAAACTTAGTGGGGAGACAACAGTCCAAAGTGCTGTCACAGAAGTTGCTGCCATGGTTGGGGAGAATGTCAAATTCAGAAGAGGTTTCATTATGTCCACAACTGCACATGGTGTTGTTTGCTCTTATATGCACACATGTCCCCAGCCAGGTACATGCACAAATCTCTGCCCTTTGGCTTTTATCAAGAATGTAGCATGCATGTTTTCCAATCTTCTTGGCTAAGTTTGAGTGCACATAACCAAATGAAAGTTTTCTAGTGACTACTGAGCATGGATCATACTTGTCCTTGCCTTTATTTATTTTCCTTTTTTTTTTGTGCCGGGGGGTGGGGTGGCAGTGGGTTCAGAAATCTAAATTTGTTGGACTTTCTGGACATTACCTTCCTTAATCTAAATTATAGTTAATCTATTCTCTTAGGGTTGTCCAGTGATGAATTTTAGCTTCTTATTTATTTATTTATTTAGTAGGATGCAAGCTCATTTGTAAAACCATTGATAGTAATACGACTTTAGTGATACTTGCCTCTTACACTGAGCTGGCCAAGCTTGCTCGCATTATTAATTTGATTCCTAACAGCAATCCATATTTTATGTTCTTCAGAAGTATGAAGTTGTATTGATATATGGTAAATGGTGCAATTTCTCGTTCACTGAATGAATAAGCTTTTTCTTTTTTTTCTGAAATAAGGTTTGGGTCGTCTTGCTGGCTTGATCACACTAGAGGCAGAAGACAGCAATGCTCCTCTTGATGCTCTTCAGAGAGTCGGGAAATCTATTGCAATGCACATCGTTGCGACAAAGCCGTTGTTTTTATCAAAAGAACTGGTCTCTGCTTCAGCTGTTGAAAATGAGAGGGACATACTCCGGACTCAGGTACGTTATTCTGATAAATGTTACTTCCTTTGCACCGGAAAAATTTAGCATCACTGTAATTCTATATGATTAGCTTACAATTGAAGAAATGGGCGTGTGCTTTACATAGAGATATCAGGTATCATAAGGTCATACCATACCAAGTGTTCTGATGTTATCTTAACAGAAAAACATACATAGGCAATAATGACCTATAGTTGAGAGAAAAATGCATATCTTGTGATAAGTCCTAACTCATTATAACTAAAAGAAAATGAAAGGAAACTGTTGACTCACAATAGAATTTTCTCAATTAGTATTCCTGTCACATTGTTTTATGTTTATGTAAGCAAGACAGCTGGGCTGTTAGAATTCAGAGATGAGCTATGCAATGGAACACAATGTGAATCCGTATATTAGAAGTTTATGATACCAATTATGTTTATTTTTCCATGAATTAAATAGCAATATCTTTTGTCATCTTCTGGAGACACATGGGCTACATCCATCTGGAATATGACTGAACTGCATTCAAGTTATTTAAGATTTAGTGACACACTACTCTGAAACTTTTTAGGCTGAAAGCTCTGGAAAATCCCAAATGGCCATGGAGAAAATGGTGGAAGGCCGACTAAGAAAGTATTTTGAAGAAGTTGTGCTTTTGGAGCAAAAATATGTTGTCAATGACAGCACAAACATCAAGGTGAACTGATAAAACCTTTTCCTTTTTTTTAATTATGTAGTACTAGTTTGAATTGTGAATTCATGGTACATAATGGTTTTGCTTCTTGATGTCAACATTTTCAGAGCGTCCTGAATGATTTGTCAAAGGAAGTTGGCTCAAAAGTTACAGTTGGCAATTTTGCTAGGATGGAAGTTGGCGAAGGAGTTTCAAAGGTACAATATATTTGTCACAGCAACAATGGATTGAGCATTTTTTGGGTTTTGGTGGGGGTGGATGGTAATTTTATCTGATTAATTTTTTGCAGTTGTGCATATGCACTATAAACCTTCCTGTCCTTTAACAGCAGATGCACTAAACAAACTGATGGCCCATAAAAAAAGCAATATGTTCTTTTAGATATCAATTGTTTGCGATTTTACTTTATGGTTCTTGCTAATTTTCTCATCCGACTTCAGTTTAATTTGACCTATCCCTAATTCTTCATTGCTTTTTTTTTCTCCATATAATCAACTACTAACCAAAGTTTTGTGCTCATCAGGCCTGATGAGTCCACTGGGTCTGAAGCTACGGCTCGTTCTGCATAGTTTTCAAGCTGACATGAATCAAATGTGATAATTGAGATATGCTGAGGTTTCTCTTCTTCTCAAGTTAGATTTATTAGTCTCCTGAGAACTGTACTACTTTTTCCGCGGTTTGGCTCCAACAATACGGTCATATTTTTCTACAAATGCTATGTATCAATTAGTTTACAAGTGAACTTTCTCTAGAGAGTATTGTAACAATTCGAATTTAATGAAATAATGTTTGATCTAAACAAACAAGGAATACAAGGTCACGCTGACTCCTGCAAAGCTGAAGGATCCAGTTTTAATTTGGTTTCTTTATGGTCTTTCTTGATCTGGATCTGATTGATGTGCAGTGTGAATTCAGAACGCCTATTTTAGTACAGTATCAGCAAATGTGTACAGCTTCCTTTTATATTCCTTTTATATCACACCTGGATATGGCATATACGGGTTCATCTTGTCGTCTATATTTAGATCATTGCAAAATAATGGAATAATGGCAGCAGAGACCATGATTTTGCAATGTACTCTTGTTGCAATTGTTCAGATGATCACAAGTTGCCAACCAGTTTGACGTAGTGCCGTGTGCCCGTCCATATTTTCCTCAAATTCTGTTTTACCATTCCACCCCATATGCTAGATGTCAGAAGATTCACATTTCGTATGTCATCAAATCAGAATGCAGATCTGAACATGAAAAAGAGGAAAGAGAGAAGAAAAAGGCAGCAGGATTGAGGATAATGTGCTCAGAGCGTGTGAATGAATGAAAAAAATGAATAGTGTCAAATTATTACTTCGTGTGCTGATTACCTTTCTTTATTCAGCTTAGTAGTGTCAAATTATTACTTCCTGTGCTGCTTGATTGCCTTTCTTTTAATTCAGCTTTTTCAGCAGATCTTGATCGTCACCGGGAAAAGAAAAGAATGGATCTTGTCCAAGTGATCTGCAGCACAAAAGGATGTTGAAGTTCTCTTGATATGGTCTTTTTATTGGTACTTGTGCTGATTGCACCTAATTGGATTATTTGTTTTTCTTAATTACCACATGCCAAACAGATGTTGTGGATGAAATGCAGGAAGTATACAGATCAACCATTAGCTTCCTAGAGTGCAGATCAGCAGAAGTTTATTGAGGCTTCTGAGCACAATTGATTTGCCACTCATGGTTTGATAAATTCCTTTCAAGGCACTAAAAACTAACTATACATGCTTGGTGACATGTAAGGAGTTGCCCCTATTTTAGTTGCATAATGGCTAGTTATCAACGTAATTGTAGGTGTAGAACATTTTAGATAAATATATTTTACTGAAGGAGAGGTTGATGACTTATGCATAAAAAAAGGGAAGGAAAGAAAAAGAGTAGTTTAAAATGAATAAAATAAAATTACTTGCACCTAGAGCTAACATATTGCATATACTATCTTCTAAGTGAGATAACAGTCATCATCTCCAAGAGATATCAAATTTGGCTATCCAAATCTCCATTTAACCATCCATGCCAAAAGATTCCCTCATTCTTGTGCTCCAATAAACTTTCTATTTTGACTCTCTAATATATGCCTTTCCAGCCTTCCCTAGTTAAACAAGACAGGTGAACTTGGGATTTTTAGTGTCTCTAGGACAACGTTGCCCTGCCCTCTTCTCCACCACTACCTTGGCTTTTCTTCAATTCTCTAGTGACGAAGACTTGCCTCGACGGTGTTCTGACTACAAAGATCAGTTCTCCTTGCCTCTCTCTCTCTCTGTTGTTGCTGCCCATGGAGTTTTGGGAGGAGGTGGGCGAGGTCAAAACTGATGTGGTGCTAGGAAGAATGCAATGAAGTCAAGCCAAACGACGTTGAGTTTGGAATCTTCTGAGCTCGAGATCACTAGGTACGCAGATCAGGACTAGACCTAGAGGCAGTAGAGCAGCTTGTCTCGATAGAGAGGTAGTGGCATTGATAAGGAGAGGCCAAGAGAGAAGGCGGGCGACATAGTTCGGCTCGGCAAGGAGGTAGCGATGCTGCTCGGCTTGACAAAAAACGATGATGCTCATGTGGGATGAGAGGTGGGGATGATGCAGGGAGGTCGAGGAGGAGGCAATAGCATAGGTAGGGGGAGCTGACTCTGCTTCTATTGCTGGCATGAGACAACCAACGTAGATGAGCGGTCTAACCGGTGTGCATACAGTGGTTAGACCGGCTATGCCAAGGACTTCATCAGGTTAGAGGATAAACTTTTGTTTCCGCTAAAAGTTTTTGTTCTTGATATTCGTACCATTCATCCCTCTCTGGTAGGCTTGGTTTTTTTGTGTTCGATCCTATAAGGTGAACAGGGAGGGAACAAAGCTAGGATCTACCAGCTAAGGGTGTGTTCTTCTCCTAAATAATATGAGTGAATTATTTGAAATTTACACAGAGCTATACCATGTATTTTTCAAATTCAAATCATGAACTTTAACAAATTTGATTTGACATAGCTATGTGTAAATTCTAAATAATTTATTCATATTGATATGGACACTTAATATGTATTGGCATTTGGTGGAATGATTGAACTTCGAAGCCCTCACAACACTTCGAAGCCCTCAATCTTCTGTTCTTCTACAAGATTTATTTGATGTGCCACTCTATTATTGTTGATTTGTTTGATGTGTGTGAAAGCCAATAATCAAATATACTACTCTTATTGACTGATTAATTGAAACTTCACCTGAGGGAATCGGATTCAAAACCACACTACGAAGAGTGAGATTGAGAATATTCTAACCAAGATATTACACAAAGTTGAACTATCCAGACTGTATCCGTGTTATCATCCCTATAAATGTTTGCTACTTTGGGGATGGTAGATAATATAGTTACCATGCTGATGCATTCTGATGACAACATACATTGTAATTCCCTATCCTAACATGTATCTGCTTATGAGCCCTCCTCTATACAGATTTTGGATAGACCTATTGTATTCTGCGCCACATTAAATTTCTAAAATTGCATCATACCTTTGGACCCGTGGTGGCATAATTCTGTGCTTAGAATTGTGGAGGTTACAGTACATCCACTGGTGGATTTACTTCGACAGAAAATGGGCGTGGGAGGAGAAGAGGGGGGGAGGGGGGGGGGGGTTACAAAGTTAACTCATGTATTTTACTTCATTCAGTATACGCTGTACTCAAGCAATTCTCCACGGAATTCACATTTATTCTTATTTATTAACATGTGAAGTGTAAAATCAAAGTGTTTTTGATTCTTTATTCTGTGATGAACAATTGGCATCTGTGATTATCGGTTTTGATATTTGGAGATTATTGGCAAAGTGGTTTTGGAGATGATTGGATTTACAGGTGCTGCTGGATAGTTGGTCCGGTCAGACCGGGCAGTGGTTGCCGGTCAGACCAGCCAGCCCGCGGTCTGACCGGCCGACTCTGTGTCGGCTTCGGTTTCAGGTTGTTTGTTTGGATATCCGTGATTGTTTCTTGTTTATGGCTTCTAGATGGATACTATGCGTATGTAATACTGTTGTTTGCTAACAATGAGTCAAATTGGAGATAGCTTGGTATTGGAATATGGTTTCTTTGTTTGATTCATGTGTAGGTGACTTGATGCCTCAGGAGAGTATTGCCGGTGATGGATCGGGAGTCGACTTGGAGATAAGATGACGTCCGGACAGTCAGATATCATGTGGAATACTTAGGCTAAAGATCAATACACATGGTTGGTGAAGATTCCATATGGCATACAATGGAGATATTGTGTGCGTATGGGATACGGAGTTGAATTTTGAAGGAGTCCAAATTTGGTATGATTGGAGTTTGTAAAGTTTGTTTCTTGTACGGGAAGGTTAGGTGGATTAGGACTTCTAGTATGAGTTTGATTAGTGGCTTTAGGCTGCCTACTTCATGTATAAATAGAGAGGGAGCGTGAGGCTTCCCGGTATCGCTTTTAAGAGCATTGAGTTGAGAGTTGAGTTAGGGTTTCGAATTTAGCCAAGATTTTCGTGAGGAGTGCTGTTGTTGCACTTTGTAAACACAGAGAGAAGTAATAAAGTTGTCATCTACTTCGAGAATTCTTTGATTTGTGTTTGCTCAGGTTCGGCGGTCTAACCGGCGAGACACCGGCGGTCAGACCGGTGGCATCGCGGCGGTCAAACTGGCGGGTATACGGCGGTCAGACCGGCGACGGCTTCAGGAGACAGAGGCGATTTCAGGGCGGTCCAACTGGGAGATCTACACCGGTTAGACCGGCGGATCAACTTCGGTCAGACCGATCTACATCGATTTGAGAGTAACTTTTAATTCCGCAAAAAGTTTGGGTTTTTAGGTATACTAACCATTTACTCACTCTCTTTGGTTGGCTTAGTTCTTTCTATTCGATCCTACATGAAGGTGAAAATGCCAACGTTACCAGCACAACAGCCAGCAGGTTATCTAACTATCCTAACTCCTGAGAGTAGAGTATGCATTCCTTTTTATTATTTGTCCTCGATGTCCGCTAATTCTGGTCAATTTTGTCCTAATTCGTATTTTGGATGGATTTTTCATCAATTAGTTGATGAATTCATTTGTAAGTGGACAACTACGCCACATATTCTGTAATTCAGATAAGTCATCATATAATGCTTTCCTTTTTCAGTGGTTTATAGTACGCTTTCCTGCAGTTAAATAGTTAGTAAAAATATTGGGCTGCTGAAATTGAAATCAGTGATGGAATATATTTTGAAATACATTTTGTTCAATGACTTCTATCAGCTAGCCAAGTTTTCTTCAGGATGTTGCCATGATTTTACTGCATCTTGTTAACAGAAATGATTTTTACTTTCAGGAGTGTGACTTGACCTTGAGGATCTTGTATATACAGTACTTTTGGATTAGCAGTTTGTCCACTCTAATTTTATTTAATGTATGGTGAAGGTGATATGGAGGAAGACCAGAAGAGTTCATGAAGCTGAAAGCAATTTATTTGTCACTTTTCAAATGAAACAGTTGGTTTATCATCATGAAGATAAAAATGCATTGCCTTTGAGAATTATCAGTCATCAAGCTAGAAGAAAAAATGGTGTTCTTATTTATTATTGCACTTGTTCTGTCCTTGAAAAATGAAGTACAGAACACATGTTAATTCTCACATCCTATATGTTTTGTTCTTGTTCAGTTTTGTGCCAATTCAGTCCCTGGAAGATAAATTGCTAAAACACATGATAATCCTGACATCCTGTGGGAGTGTGGGTGGACCTGTTTTAGGCCTATAGTTATTTGATTAGGTTATTTACCAAAATTAGTTGTATTGGCTTGCTGTTGTTATTTGGGCACACTCTTATACGGGCTAACCCACGG